AAACTACCTTCATCACCTGCTTCGGCAACCTTGAAACCTTCGACGTCGTCGTGTCAAGCGTGCAAAGGATTACACAGAGTTGCCTACAAGTGCAGCGGTCACAATCAGTCCAATGGCGCCTAGCACCTCACGAGAGCACGAGGTGCCGTTCCTCTTGCTCCCAAAAACGAGAAGCCACAAGGTCAGGTCACATCCTCGGCATCGTCAGAGGGGATGCCTCGCAGTGTTGGCGAAAGTGTTGAGCCCGAGGCTTGCTCCGATGGTGAGTAGCGTGCCCACTCGTCCAGGTTGTCCATCAGATTCTTGTGCGGTCGGCCAGAGACGAACACGTACTGATCGTAGCACAGTCACACCACCTCAAGTAGACATCCAGCAGCCAGCAGATCCACTTCTCGCGGTTGCGGAACAAGGAGTGGCCGCACCAATCCCGATGTCCTTGTCAAATCCTGGCGACTTCTGGGACAGTCGTAAGCTCGACGCCATTGAGGAAGCAGCCCATGAATCTATCCTACCTCCGCCCGAGTTGGACAGTGTAGACAACAGCGAACGGCTCGAGAAAGACCCTCCTTCCGCACCAGCTACCTGACCTCATGAGCAGCCACGCTCCGGCTCTGGGCAGTATTGACATAGGACGCCAAGTCATGTTGCCTCCAGGTTGTGAGGGTGCTCAGTCAGGACCAGTACCATCGATGAGCCCTCGTGAAGCTCAGCAACGCTGCGACTCAGACTCAACAACCGCGCCCATCAGCCTCACTTGTACATCATCAGATGGGACTAGATCGCCAGTCTCATCGCCCCCCTCGCGGTCGAGCCTCCCTGGTGAGGTTTCGCCCACTGACGCACCAAGTCTCACTGAATCACCTTTGGTTGTTGGTTCCCCTGATGGCATTTGCGACAGCCACAACATGCAGATCCGAAGAAAACGTCGGGGCTCTATCCAGGCTGCTACTGCAGAAAAGAAGAGGCACGTTCGGGAGACGACCCGATTCTCTGGGGGCTCGAAACATCAGTGTTAGAATCAGAACCTCGCTGCTATTCTGGCGGACATCCGAAAGTGGCCCACCAAGGACAGGTTGGAAGTGCTGATGCTATTCATGAAGATCTAGACTGGGGTGGACATTCCGCAAACTGAAGCGACACTGTACTTGTTGCATACTATGTCAAGGTGTGCACAGGCCGAGATGTTTATCACTTTGGTCACTGGACTGGGAAACCGAGATGAGCTGTCAGAAAGAAGAGCCAGTGTTTCCGGAATGGCTTCGTGAAGGGCTTCCGTATCTGAACTTCTTGGTGAGGTTCACCAGGCGTATGGGTAGAGAAGGTATGTTACTTGTCAATCATAGACCTGTTGCGAACATCATGCACTACTGTAAAACAATCTGTGAGCGGCTAAGTGGCCTATTCCAGCATGACAGAGCCTGTTTCCACTGGGAACTACACCTGATGGACCCATCCATCCGAAGTGAATCTGCGCCGGTCTTTGTTGAGACAAGTTGGCAGGAGCACTTTGGGGCACATCTCATTCAGCATCAGAACCCCTCTCTTCCCCCTTCACCCAGGCTCACATGGCGTCTTTCCAACCGTGCTTACAATGAAACAGGCAGACTTTCTTCGCACAAGGCCAAGTCCAACCCAGCCGCTCACTATCAGCTCTCCTGAGTCCAAGGCCCCTCCGCCAGTAGGTGCAATATCCACCAGCATCACGCCACCATCATTGGACAAATGCTCGCCTTCGCCGTCAACCCCTTCCTCAACCCCTTCCCGAACCCGTGCCTATACACCAACGCGACTAGACGTCCTTTTGCCCGACATAAATCAGCAACTCGCTACCATAATACAACAACTCAAGGAGGCTAGACAGGATTTAGGCTCTGGAGTGCCAGATGTGTGAGGTAGCAGCAACCATCCAGGCAAGCATGAAGGAAGCCGCATCACAACTTGAAGCTCTCACTTCCTCCAAGGACGAAGTCACTCCAGGTCTCATGGTAGTCAGTCAAGAGAGGAAGAGGCGTGCACCAACAGACGCAAAACCCGAGTCACAGAGCAGGTCCGAGAGGCCACACGTCGAGGAAGATGCCGACGTGATGGTTGAGGTAAGCTGAGCACAGATGATCCAATATACTCCCCTTTGCTGACTTGAATGTGGCAGCTTCATCCGCAAGGTAGCTGACTAGGCCGGGTTCCTGGCGCCGAATCATACGCAATGATGTGCTGCACATTGCTGCTGTCGAACGCCTCAGCAGCCCTCGAGTTGGGTGTTTGATGGTTGGCGGGCATGGAGAGGGGGATGATCTATCACAGCGTGGAGGTTTTAGGCCTACTGAGTTCTCATGGTCCAGCAGTGAGTTAGACCCGTGTCAGGAGCCTCGTCAAGCGCAATTCATTTCTCCAGAAAGCTCAATGCTTGTTTTGGTGTCAGGAGTAAGGCAGACATGTCTCTTATCATGACCAATACTGCATCAACACGGTATATCGTGTGAGTTGAGGTCGAGATTGCATCGTAGTTCTTGATCGGAATTACAGCGCCTCACGGCATAGAATTACAGCGCCTCGCAGCCTGGAATTACAGCGCGCCGCCGCCCAGAAGAATAGCGCCTAGCAACCCTGGAACGGTTCCCTGATGTGACCTAGGAAGCATTCCCACATCCTGGCACCGTTCCCAGCTTAGCAGGTATCTTTACATAATGCACCACACAAAGTGTACTTGCCACTTTGGGGGCCCCTGTACCGTCAGAGATCACAGTAATCGTCGTCACCCATAAATGCACGTGCGCGCACATGATTGCGATTTCACGGAACGAGCAAGACGTGTTAAGTACCGCTCGTTCTTCTCGTTCTCCAAAAGAAGAAAAAGGCCCACCAAAAAAGTGAATGGCACATGCGGTTCATGAAGTTATTTGGGTTGGGAGTTTCAGGAGGCTTGTCACTGTGGACGTTAATGAAACCGATAGTGAGGCAGTTGGTGGGTGCCGTTCCATGAAATTCTACTATGATGCAGCACGGCGAATCTGGAAGTTCTTGGCTTCTGGATAACGGAGCGTGAATGGTAAGAATGATGTCTTCGGCGTGGCATTGCGATGTTGAGAAGAATCCATGCGGGGCGGCGATTGTACAGATGGTCGTGAATGGGAAGACTGCACAGCGAAGACGATGCTGTGTCGTGCCCATATTGCTCTGATTGTGAATGCTCTGCCCTAGGGAGATGCTCCAAACGAGTGGCGTGGCAAGTGCAACCTCAAGCAGATATGACCCGCAATGAACATATCGAGCTGAGAGCAGCGGCAGAGCTCAGGCCGCCGGATGGCTGGGCTAGGTGCCTGTCGAGCGTGATGCCGTGCTACAGGCGGAAGGCATCACTGCCGGTTCGCGCTTAAGGTAAGACCAGGGCGCAAGATCTCTAACGCCTCCGCGCTTGTTCCTGGCGTTCGACGTAGACGGAACAGGCGCCGAGCTTTACGCTAGTTTTGCTTGTGTCACAGAGTGGGGGTTGTTGTTTCCAGCCCGCCAGCGGATTGGAGCGCTGTAGGCTCCAATCGACCTGGCCATCCATCTGTCCATCCGCATGTCCACCAGTCCTCTTGCTTTCCACTCTGTGCTGCGGCATCCGAACAAAGCCCACAAAAGGCAGGCGGCACAAGGCAGATAGAGGTCAGGGTGTCGCCGTGGATGGACATGTGGATGGAGAGGAGCCTACAGGGATGCAGGAGATGATCCGATGCCCCGCGCCACTAGCGCACTTCTGCAGACGCTAGGCTTAAATCAACGACAAATTCAGTGCGCAGTGAATCTGTCGCTCTTTTAAACTTAATGAATGCATTTGACAGGATCAGGCCGCGCCACTCATACGCAGCGTAGACTATGGACCCGTGCGACTACACTAGGGACTCCTGCTTCCAATCTCACAGTGCAGTCAGGAAAAGCAAGCCAAGCTGGTTCTCCAAGAATCTAAGATACACTGTTGTGCGCAGCCTGCACGAAATTACCACACAGCTGCATGGTCAAGTTATATGTATACAACTGTCCACTCCTTTCGCAGACTCAGCAGCGATTCACAACTGATGAGGAGATACAGAGATGTATGTCTGATTGCAGCTTTTATTCGAAATGACGCAAGCTCGGAAACATCGAAACGGACTACCTTGTGTTTCTAGTGTCCCGTGGTCCGTTTTTCCTAATCTATGGATATTAGGCCATCAGCTCCTCCGCTGGTTGAGGGTACGGGCTGTTGTTATTATTGTTGTGGTTGACGAACCATGTCTGGCCATACTCTGATGCCGGCTTGCGGGCGTATGGATAAGGCTGCTGCTCCAGCCAGGAATATGTTGGGCCTGTCATGCCTTGGTGCCTTGGTGCCTTGGTGCCTTGGTGCAGGTGTCATACCCACTTGCGCGTGATGGGTTTCAACGGGCGGACGCCTTGTCTTTCGTGTATCAGTATGTGGGCATTTCTGCGCTGAAACCCCAATGCCTGATGACGACTGCGCGTGAAAACAACTGCCTATTGTGTTTGGGGGCTGCGCTGCAATTAGAGATGCGTCATCGACAAGGTACTCACTAAAGTGCATCCTCCCTGAGGCCAAAGCGATTTGAGGCTTCGCATATATCGTTTTTCGTGCCCTTGTGCTGCTCTATGCTGTGTATCTACTCCGAACGCGAGGTTAAGGTGCCAGAGCAGACGCTCATCAGACACCACAAAAGGTGTTAGTATGCTGCTCTATGCTGTGTATCTACTCTCCTGCCGCCGCCAAAAGAAAAAACGACGCCCTTCCACGAAAAGTACAATATATCCACCTCTGAACGATGCTCAAGGACTGTTGCCTCCGCCATTATCTACTACTGCCAAAAAAACAAAACCTCCATCAGCAAGACAATACCAACGATGAAAAAAAGAAAGTCTCCCAAGAACTCCATACATCCTGGGCCTTGCAAGACCCGGACCAGTCAGCACCACGCCTACTTGCTGCCCCAATCGTCACTCCAGCTCAGCTTTCCTTTGCTGAATCAGACTCTCTTAGAACCCTCATAATAGTGAGCTTCCCCCATAGCGTGGCTCACATGGTGTCCATGTTCAAGATGCTGTTTGACTATCGCTGGCTGATGGTACGGACTGTTGTTGTTGTTGTGGTTGACGAACCGTGTTGGGCCATACTCTGATGCCGGCTTGCTGGCGTACGGATATGGCTGTTGCTCCAGCCAGGGGTAGGCCGGCCCGGTTATTCCTTGAGGCCTTGGTGCAGGTCCCATGCCCACTTGCGCATGATGTGCTTCGACGGGCGATGCCATAGAGCTCGAGACTATGGAAGGAGCGTACATGTCTGGGCCCATGGAAGAGCGACGGTCGAAGGAACCTCGATGAGGGTCATGTCCATCAAGCATGACGTAGTGCGGCGCTGCGCTGTCTTCGCTCTCATATGACATAGTCCGCGCTGGGGAATGTAGTGAGGGGTCCCACTTATCTTCGGCCCGGACGCTGCTAGCACCTGACGTGACGGTTCCCATGGATTGTGGCCATTCGGTTGGGTGATGATGTGTTTCTGGTGAAAAGCCATGGAAACCAGTAAGGCTCGGAGCCTCTTCCGAACTTTGCTTCCAAGGACCCATCTGGAAGCCTGAGCCGCTCCCATGCTTGGGACTAAGAGTTTCTGAGCCTGGCCAGCTACCTTATCCGAGTGGATGTCTCGTCCCGCTCACGTCTTGTGGCCCTGTCAGTGGTACGTCAGTCCGGTTCACTGATAGTGTCGCAAATCTCGCACTCGACCGAATGCTTACCTGAGCGATCCGTCAAGATGGCACTTGACTCGTACTGCCCCATTGCTGGTGGTCCCATGTTTGGGCATGAGGCTGCTGCGGGTGCGCCCGGGTAGGAGCCATAGCTGACAGGTGCCGGGAGTTTGTGTTTGACCGCTGGTGAGGATGATGTTGACCTGATCCTCGAGGATGCGATGATCCGGTTCTTTGGCTTCGACTGTTGCACACTATTGCTTCCGCAACCTGCCGCGTTTGGCTGTAGGTCAACAGGCTGGAACTCACACTCCCTCTTCAGTTTGATGCAGCTCTCGCATCTACCGTGAGTGCTTTTGCTGTCCACTTTGCAACGGATTTTCCTGCGCCGACAGTGTCCGAATGCAAATGGTCAGCCACTGAATCATCTTCGACGTTTGCACCCTGAGAGCCAAGGTGGGGGCGAGGGGATTTGAAGCTTACCACAAGCCACGGATGATCTGTGATAGCCAAGCTTGTTGCGAGCTTTGTTGTTCCGGGCAGTGTTGCGTTCCTCGTTGCTGACCCATCACTCATCGTTAGTAATTTTGACATAGGCCACATTCAAACTGGCCGTTGGCGCGGAGCCGATACAGATGTGCAACACCCGGCCAAGAGAGGATGCACTCACTGGCAAGGAAGGAGAAGTGGTTGAGTACGCTGGTATGGAGGGTCAAGGTCCTGATTCTGGGGTCACCAACTGACGAGTTGGTCCCGTTGATTGAGACATCATGATGCCCGTTGATCGTACAAAGGCCCCGAAACTCCTGTCTGCTCCGAAGTTACCTTTCACGGCTGGCGGCTTCGGGAAGGGCCATGTCGTATATATGCTGCGCTGATTAGGTCTATGGGAGAAGACGGCCATGGGGTTAGAACCCCCTGCATCTGCTCGTGGAACGTAGAGCTCAAGCCGCCGGTTGGCTAGGCTAAGATGCCGTGCTACAGGCAGCAGGAATCGCTGCTGGTTCACGCTTGAGGCAAGATTAGGGCGCAAGAACTCTAACGCCCCAGATGTGTGACGCAGACAGAACAGGGGCACGGGGCCGGGGATGGTTTACGGCGTTTCCGAACATGCTTGCGTGGATGGGGGGTTCAATGCTCGACATGCTGCGGGCTTTACGCTAGTTTGTTTGTCACAGCGAATGGATTGGAGCTGTCACCGCTCCATCTAGCAGTCCATCCACCTGTCCATCCACCTGTCCATCCACATGTCTCCCGACGCTAAGCTTGAATAAACGACAAATTCAGCGTGCACTGAATCTGTCACCCTTTTCGACTTAGTGGATCCACTTGACAGGGATCGGGCCTTGCCATTCATAGACTACGCGCATGGAACCATGCGACTGCACCAGGGACTTCGGCTTCCTCAATCTTACAGTGCAGTCAGGAAAAGCAAGGAAAGCTGGTTTTCCAAGTGATATATCTCTGAGCGGTATCCTTCCCTTGTTGTTGGAGGAAGAAACCCAGCAACTTCATGCATCTGCTTGCATGCCATCCATGTTTTCTGCTGCAGCACCATGCATGTCCACGAATCCCTCGTGCTTGAATTGTGGTGCCTCGTTATCTTCTTCCAACTAGGGCGCTACGCTTTCCTTGCCCTGAGTCGGAGCTGGAAAGAACGACGGACCGAGCGCCACCCATTTCTCGAGTTTGGCGCCAGAGAGCTGGTCACATGGGCAGTCACCATCGTCCTATTCTCAATTTTGTGGGCCATGTACTTCATATTTTGGCAACTTCCCCCCTTCTTGCAACACTGTTGCTGCTGCAGGTGTGCGGGGACCTAGTAAGTCGCCTCTCCATCTATGCTTCATCACCTACACCTCCATTAACACCATCAACGACGTGGCACCATCTTCTACCCCTGGGACAAACATTCTTCCCTGACCAGAGATGGCCATGGGTTGTTGTTGTTACGATGGCTCTCATAGGTTCATGCGTCACACTCTCGAGCATCCTCTCTATGTGGCTCAAGCCTCTCGTTAGCCTCCCGACAGCCATCTCTACCCTCCCTAGTCTCCTCCCACTTCTAGTCCATGCGCTTCTTATCGCCATAGTGGGGAGAAGCCTACATCGCATGCGAAAGCGAAAACGTATCGTTAAGTGAATTCTGGTCTACAGAATATTTCTATGTTTATTGTCTATCGCCTTGAGCGTGCTCATTTCGACTGAGAAGCTCGCTCTGGAAACCTGCTTTTTTGCACAGGGCGCTGTACTGGCCATCGGCTACTACCCGTGGGTCTACGTAGTCGCGATACGGAGCAGAAGAGGTAGACGAGAACCTCCAGGGTCGAGTTCAACAGGAGAGCAGGAGACTCAAAGGACGTTCGGGGAGTCTGCTGTGTCCGTGTCCGTGTCCTCCACGACAGCCATGTTCCCAAGGGTTGTCGTGGACTCACATGACAAACTCGGACACCATCAACTGAGTGTGTTTTCTTTTGTGGCGCGGCCCGGCACTGTACAGGCCGGGGTGGCCCAATCCGGGTGGAAGACCACTTGTTCCACTAGCTTAGGTACCTAGGTACGCAGATAGAGCACATAAATGGTTTACTCGGACATTTCAAGTCATGCCGTCCATGCTAAGACAAGGGTGACTCGGGCCCGGGGGTTTGGGGAATTGAGTGGGACCGCTTGTAGGGAGCCAACGGAGCCGGATGCATTAGAGCACGGGATACGTCAGTGGACATGTGGGTGGACATGTGGATGGACGGGTGGATGACATGTGAATGGAGTGCTGGATGCCTTGAGCGGCCGCTTGTGACTACCCTGACAGCTCCGCTCAGGCCAAGGTATTTAAGTAGCGGCTCATACACGCTAGAATTTAGCGTACCTGTACCCACTACATAGGCACACACCATCCCACCGCAGCTCGAGCCCTTCAGTTAGTGGGGTCCCCGCGTACCTACATTAGCGTGGATTAACCCCTCAACCCCTCTAAGTAATTTGTTCTAGGCCATGACAGCGCTGATTAGCCGCTCCACTTCCCAGCATCCTCAGTGCCCCGTCATCGTCCCCTCTGCGTATTGATACGGACTGCTCGCGTTGGCACCAGCTTCTCTGGGAAAGACTCGCGCCTCAGTGCGGCAGCGACATCGTGAGTGAGAACAGACACAGGTCAAGTGCCCGCTGATCATTGGCGAGAACGCAATTATGCAGCCGCGTCTAGGTGCACCTCAAACTCTAGCGCAGTGCTCCCCTCCAGAAACAGCCTGCGGACACGTGGAGCCAGCATGCTGCAAGGGCACAGCAAGCTATCACGTCCAAAGACAGCTCATCTCGTGGACCCGACTTGTCTCTCGCATGACAGCACAGAACCAATTCTTCACAGCCGAGATGCCAGCGATCACCACTCCTGCAAATTGATTGCGGCGTCTCCGAGCAGCCCAGTGTACTGCTTCTTAAAGAAGTGCTGTGCAGCTACACCGAGTTGTTGCTACCAAGGTCTGGCAATCCAATAGATCTTGAAGCAGCGGGTGTCACTTTAAATCCAGGCATGACACGCTGTCAGTCAACCGACACAAGGAAGCCATCACCCTCCTACTTTACCAATTTCACCCACAGTCTATGGTAAGAGACGGCTGCATTTAGTCATCCGACAGCCCCAGACATGACGGTCACAGTTTGACCTCTGTGAAACTATCCACGAGACTTTTCCATGCCCCAGCAGCAGCACCCTGTTCATTCTCCCTCCCGGATGAGCCGGCGGTAAGAGTAGCACGGCATCCCAATACGATGAGCGCGCTCTTCGCTCTAGTTAGGGCGACATTCATCCTTCTCAGATCCCCGAGAAATCCAATCTCACCGTGCTCGTTGCATCGCACTGTGACGAGAACGACAATGTCCGCTTCTCGGCCCTGATAGCCATCAATAGTGGACACTTCAATATCCCCTCCAAGCCCCGTGACCGCGGTGCCCTTGAGCAATGTGCTCTGCTCTGCGTAAGGCGTCAGTACAGCAATGGTCTGCCTGACGTATTCCCTACGAGCATCGAGAAGAGGGACAGCCAACAGCAGCTGACAGACTCGGCAGCACAACTCCGCCTGAGCTCGATTGCGCTTGGATTTCTGCCCTAGGTCTTCACGTCCGTTGCAATTGATGAAAACAGTCCGGATGAAATCCCCCGAGGCAGATAACCTTGGCCAGGGAAATGATGAGAGGGCTAATGACCGCTCTTCTATCATCACATCTGTGCGCAGCCTGCCCTGGTAGAACAAGTTGGAGCTGAAAGAGCATAACGTAATCCACAAGCAAGCGGGTCACACAAGCGACCGGGTCACCCTCCCAGTACTCGTACGACAATGTATAAGTTAATTCAACCATAACGCCTCAAATCAATTCAAACTATTTAGAATCCTCTTCTTTAGAGGCAGATATAACTTTCTGACACGTACGAGCATTATGGCCAGGCTCGCCGCAGACGCCACATCGTCGCGCGCGCGTTTCGGGCCTTCTTGTACGACCACTATTCTGACTCGTTTCCGCCATTAACTGCTGCGTCGCATCGATTTGAGCCTTCAAATCCTTTGCCTGCTCAATTGTGAGGGACCCTCCTTTCTATAGCTGCTTTCTTTTCGTACGACGACGGCGGCTGAGGCGGTCGTTTGCATCTCGAAGTTCGGCGACGTTATGGAGCAAAAGGTCCTGCTTGTGTGCCATCATCGCTATCCCTTTATGAAGCTGCTTAAGGCTTGCGATTATAGATGACGGTGAGCTATTCTGGTGTTGTACGATGCGACTTTTGAGATACTCCGTCTGCGATTCGGCCTTAATCGGGTTATTTGGCGTTTTTGAGACTTAAGGGGGTAGTAGTCCAGTAGAACCTAGTAGTGTTAGCGTACGAGGCTTTATATCTAGCTGCGAAATTATATAGTCTAGATCGTACGGTACTAGGCCTATAGCTCGAAAGCCTACCTGGATGTTTGACTTAGTTATTATAGCGTCGTACGCCTTATAAAAGGCTGGGAGGAAGTCCTCCTTCGAAATATAGGTTACGTGCGCCCGTATAAGACCTTCGATTTCTTTACCGTACGCCCGTTTTAGAGGTCCAAAGCACCTAACGTTAAGAGGCTGGAGCTTATGCGACGAATAAGCAGACATATAGAGGGTAATAATATTCTGTTCTTTATAGTAGAGCTCGAAATTAACGGAATGGTAGCTCTCGTAGCTGTTGAGGATGAGGAGGCGGTAGGCACCCTTCGTACAACTCTTTATATGGAAATCGAAGTGTTTTACCCATTCTAGGCTTCTCTCGTTTATTATCTAACCGTTTTCTAAAAGCGCGATTATCTAGTTAGGCGGTAGGGGGCTATTCGCGGTCCAGGAGTCGAGGTGGACCTTCCCGGCGAAGATAATATACGGCGGGATTGAATACCCGTACGACGCGATACCCTGGATTACTGTAACCCATTCCTGATTGCCTTGTTGTACGGCTCTTGGTTTCCCGCGTCGATCGGAGGTCGTAACGACAGTTTCGGCGGAGATTTTACCTATCGTGAAGCTTGTTTCGTTAAAGTTATAGATATCGTTATCGTGGATCCCGTATTTCGCGATTATGTTTTGTACGAGCTTAAACCACGCGCGATACGCGTCTGGATCTTCGTAGAGGACTGTCTTATAGTCGATTCTTCGATTAAAACGCGTATAGAGCTCTAATCGTCGTCGTACGAAGTTTAAGGCCCAGTTCGTTCCGACGCGTAGCGCGTCGCGTACCTGGAGGAGTCGATCCGCCATTTCTCGAATACCACTAAGCTGCGGCGGAAATGATCGCGAATCTAGGTCGATTACATATTGTACAATACTGTCCTCTTCGTACGAGGTTAAATTCTGGTTATGTGGTCGGGTATCGCCTTTCGCAGAGCGGCCGTGGTATCGTTGTTGTAGTGTCGTACGTGATACCTTATAGATCGATGCAGCCTTTCGTACGCTTAATTTAGGGTCTAATTGAAGCGCATTTAGCGCGAGAATGATCTCTGATTTAATTGATTGTCGTGGCATACTTGTTCGTGGAGAAATTAAGGAAAGAAGAGGAGTAATTAAGAATTGTAGGAATTTGACCCGGTCGCTTGTGTGACCCGCTTGCTTGTGGATTACGTTATCGTCTTATGCATACGATACTGCGTGTTGAGCATTAGCGCCTGCGTATTTGGCAGCATCTGACCAGCTGCTTCCGTTTCCCTGCAACGATTGTACAGACGTTCAAACAACGAAACGTCGTAGCCAAGGGTCGTAGTGATGGCTTGCACGGTGGGACGGAGCTGTACATGGTCTCCAACCAGGACTGCCCGCTTGCACGCCTTGGTCAGTGGCACAAGAGATGCAGCCTCAGTTTGCTGGGAAGCCTCATCTATAATCACGATGCCAAAGTCTTCGGAACGTAACAGACCAATGCCGGCGCCGATGCAAGTCGAAAAGGCGACTTGGCAGGACTTCACGCGTTTCCTCGCTTCCTGCATGGACTTGTGCGACGTGTATATCTCTCTCTCTCCTAGACCGTCCAGCGTGTATTGCCTGAGGTTCTCAGCCACTTTGCGGACCTATCCTGCATGTTAGAAACAGCTTGATGGACAAGGGGTTATCAAACGAGTAAGGACAAAGTGTGGGAATGGAGTAAACTCGCCTCGGTTGAGACTCTAAGAGCGACAGGCCCCGTTCGTCCAGTGACATCAAGATACCGTCTCATCAAGTTGTCCACCGCGTTGTGAGTCGGCGCCGTGACGAGAATTCTCTCATCTGGAAACCGGTCCAGCAGGCCAAGTATGATGGCGACAATTGTCTGTGTCTTGCCTGTATCCGGTGGGCCCCAGATGAGGACAAGTGGATGGGTCAGAGCAGCAAGCATCGCGGCTCTCTGGCTTTCGTTGAGGGAGAGCTGAAAGTGCGTTGTGAGAGCAGTACGACAGTCTGATTTTGGTCTCATGGCACCTGCTTCACAAGCGACCGTGTCCGATGCCAAAAGCTCATTCGCAACGCAACAGTATTGGCCATCCGTGTCAGCGAAATGCCGCATAGCAGCAAACAGGGCACGGGGTCTCACGAAAGGGCCGTAGTTTGTCAGGATCCAGGAACATTGTTCCACGAACACAGGCATGGCTGGAAACACTGGAACGTGACCGATCCCAAGTGACTCTCGACCGCGAGTGCATCAATGCATACTTCTCTCGCCAAGGGCGCATTCTTGGGCTTTGAGGCGGCCGTTAAGCGAACGTGTGCCCACGTCTCTGGCACTTTCGCAGAATCAATACGGAATGCGCATTCGGCCAAGGGATATCCATCTCGTTCTTTCTTGAGGTCGTGTAGCATTATCATTTCAGCTCTGTCAATTTGTTGTTCATTAGCTTCGTGGATGTGATCCAGGGCGATGCTAACAATGTTATCGGCAAAGTGCATGGCCAACGCTGGTTTGATGGTCCCCGCGAGCAGACGCAGACTCTGGCGCTTGAGACATCCCAGAAGAATATCTAAAGCTAGATCTGGGGAGTGAATGGTCAGAGCGCACAGCTCGACGAGACTCGTCATACCGTCCAGCGTTAGAGCATGAGTTAGGGACAGAACTGACTCAAAGGCCGGGACAAGTAGAGCATCTGCGGAACAGGCACAGCGGACGATTGCGTTCAAAATCTCTTGTCCTCGATCCTGGAGCTTCTGAAGTACTCCTCTGGGAAGGTGGGCCTTTCGAGTGCTGAGCCTGGAGAAGCTAGCGGCCATCGAGGGTTCCATGGACAGGTGATCCAGCAGGACATCCACTTGCCAGCTCAGACACTCAATGTCTGGATCGTCGGTAGAAACGCGTGAGAGAACATGGCCGTAGACGTTCTGGGTGACACTGGTCATATTATGCTGTCCCAGCCATTTGAGGACCTTGCCAAGCTGTTCCTGGGAGGCAATGCCATCCATCACAGCCCTGTTCCCCTTCATTATTTGTTGCACGTGCGCGGGTACACCATTCAGATCTATGGCCCTTGGGATTTCGAGGGAGTAATCTCTGGGTACTTCATCACATATGGGCTTTACGACTTCAGTCTCAACGTACTGCAGCCATAGATCAAGAGTCTTCATGGACTCGAGGTCGCGGTTGCTGATGACATAGATTTCCTGCGGGATTTGTCAGTCCTGGTTGAAGCGAGATCTGGTCCTTACGTTCTGACAACCTACTGCAGCCAGTAATCCATGGCCATTTACACGTCCTATCTGTCGCTGCAGGCCCTGGCTGAATTTGTTAAGCGCCACGCTGACTCGATAATCGAAGTTTCGACCGTCCTCGATGGTAGCCTGCCTAGCCTACCTCAGGCGCCGCCGGTCACCTCTATTCACAGTACTGCGATATGCAGCATCGTCCGAAGCACTTCGCTTGATGAATATCCATGTATTGCTCCGCTGTCCTTCAAACAACTGAAACAGGTTGTTGTCACAATCCAGACGATAGTTCTTCCGAGTCGAGCGAGACAGGCGGCCGAAAGACGACAAGTCTTTAGCATGCGGAAAGGCAATAACGCGAACAGTATCGTGGACGAGACAGTGCTGGGCCTTCGGTATCATCCGCGGTATATATATCATGAGAGACAATCTTTCATCCACCTGAGCCACTACCAGTTTTCTGTGATATTCCTCGAACGTTTTGGCGGCAGTGTCCAGGGATGTGGCAAGTCGGCATTGTGAGGAGTCATATACCCTCTTCCATCTCAGCCGAGGAGTATCCAGCTGATGGTGAGCGATATCATTCTCGGACACGATCTTGGATGTACAAAGGGCATTGAGGATGAGAGAAGGTGTCCACTGTAGTTGTTGTGTCGAAGAAAGAACCCAGTGCTTTTCCTCGGCCGTCAAGGAGTTCATGTCAAAGTAAGACAGGAATGGGAGCGGTGACGGCAGCGACGAAAATGAGGACGCTCTGACCATGTGAAAAAGGGACAGATAAGTAGGAAGCCGAAGGGAAAGTCGGCAGGCGGACCGCTCTAAGCTTTTACAGGATAAAGAGGCCAGATTAAGTCCGTGTTGATCGGCTAGAAGGCACTTTTAGTCCCGAGCTAGAAAGAGATGATAGGTCATGTGCCCAAGGAGGTGATTCTGTGGCCGGCAAGCGCGGACGCCGACAAACCCTTGACACACCCGTTTGAGATTCAGCAGGAGCAAAGGAAGCTATGTCACCATGTATGCGTCCAAATACGCTGGCGCAGGCAGGAAGTTGTGCAGAACCACTCCGCTTTAGTTTGAACCTGACAAGGCGGACGAGCGGGTCGGGGTAGTCAGCGCAGTCCTTCTCACAGTTATGGAAAGCGGATTACAGCCGGCTTAGTCAAGAAGACTAAGACAACCGACAGGCTCTGAGACATAGTACAAAGTGTACACCGAATGGTTCCGCATCCGAATGCGTGATGTGAATGTGGCCTTTGACGTCGGCATCTTTGAGGGTCTCGTCCAGCCCACAACCGGGGAATAGCAGAAGCTTCTCATCATGATTCCAGCTTGCGATTTGGGAACTGAACCTGGCCTTTGTCTGTGCTCTTGGTGCCAGAAACGGCCATACAGCACAGACCACAATTTTGCAAGCCAACTTAATACTAGATCAACACACGTACTAGACACCTCATCCTAGATGGACTATCAGAACGACCAGTAAGCGATTGAAAAGCGAAGCGCCAAAGGGTCAGAGCCCCTCCAACATCCTCGCCTCTTCCCTCCACACGACCACACACAGACACACACACAGACACACCACACACACACACGTCTTGAGCCAGGAACCTAGAGCCAAGATGCCTCTTGCACAGAAATGCAAATCGTACGTTTCCACATCATGCTTTGTGGCACGTTCTGACAAGTCTAGGCCTTTCCTTTCTGAGATCCGTGCAGTCACCTTTCAAGGGTCTGGGTCTGGAGAAAGATACTGGGTTCACAAGGACCTCCTCGCCGAGATGGAGGCAAGCGTTAATAAATGCTTCGTCCCATTGCCGTCTGCAATGAGCTTCAATAAGGTTACTGAAAGGGTCGGTCGGGTTTGGATCAATTACCTATACTCGGGCGAATGCCAGCTTTCGACCGCCGACGAGCAGGATCAAGTCCCAGACACATCTCGAGACACCCTCGAGCTCGGCCTTGAAGTTTATTGTTTTACTTACATATTCAGCGTCCATGGGCTGGCGAAACTTGTTAGAGATCAGATCATGGAGATGACCAAATACTGGAACTCCGTGACGGTATTAGAGGTTGCCAAGAAGACTTGCTCCTGTTCCAGAAGATGACGAATGGTTCCGTGATCTTATCAAGAACCATTGCCACCAGGCACTCTGCCACCCAGGACAACTTGATCAAGAGTCAATTCGCGAAATTCTCTCGTCACAGGACACGATCAGCAAGATTCTCTTGGCAGAGATTTTTCTCATCTGCGATGCAAACGCAGATACCCCTGCTGGGTCGACTGTCGGTGATGACTTTCGCTCGACGCAGACTGCAGCTCGTGTTGAGCTCAGGACAACTCACTTTTCTGAGGAACCTTCGTCCAGAAGCACGCCAGAGACAAAAGCTGACTCGGCACCTTCTGCCAATTGAGGTTTTGAAGACCGATGGTCCTTATCGGTCATTAGCAGCAGCGGCAAGAAGAAGGAGGTCAGAGCCCGGTTGATTTTAGACCAATCGAGCGAGACAACCCGGTCGAGTTCAATGAGCATTGTGCCGCAGAGGACAGCTGTAGAGCTAATCGATCAGCAATATTATTTTCTCATTCCTGTTCCGAGTATCATTCAGAGATTCTCTCCCGTTACAATAGCAACCAGTGGTGCTACAAATTAAGTCCTGCCTTCACGTTGTCGACGAGTCTGCTCTTTGATATACGCAGCAAACTTGCGAAGCCAGCCGTGTTCAGCAGCAGACGCCTTAGCGATGTCGGTACGGCGTCGTCTTTCATGAGGCAAAGGCTCGCAGGATTGGGCGTCAAGGCCGTATCAGGAGAGGGGAGAACGGGGTCCTTCCCAGAAAAGTCATTCCGTGATGATTCCCTGTGCAGGTCATTCCTGCTACTTACTGGAAGCCCTCGTCGGTCTTTTATAGCTACTGATACATGGAGATCGGCCACAGCACCGACGCTGGCGCATCACTAGCGATATCGGTGGCTCATTCTGCCGATGTCTGTATTAAGCAGCCTGCACGATCTCCGGCACGCGCTGTGAAGCACTGATGCCGGAAGTGGGGCAATAGGTGGGGCACCTACCTCACCAAAAAGCCCACGCACGTTAAGAAACGGACTGGGGAGGGGTCCAGTGGAAGCCCCCCGAGCAAGAGCGGCGAGCTGTGATGTCAAGCATCATTGAATGTAGGATATCGTCATTCGCATAATCCAATCCTACATACAAGGAGCTCAGAGCGAGCGCATTAAGACCAGAGGACAGGGCTCAAGCACAGCACCGTGATCATCCCAATCGCCCAGCATCTACACAGCTGGTGCTTATGCTTCGTCGGCGAATTCTTGGCTTGTCATTCTTGTATTTTGTCCTTGTTATTTCGAAGCGAGGATTGCACTGAAACCTCGAAACGCCTCGCCGATCAGTTTTTTCCTTCAAAAAAAAAAGAGAGAGAAAAGAGACCGGCAGCATCGTAAAACCATCATCTCATGACCAGAGCACTAATCCCTACCACATGATAGCTTCGGACATTTTTTTTTGATACAGCTAGGATTAACGTGTCAGTGCAGAATGCCACGATTTAATGCCGCAGGCTCATTGGGACGCAACTGTGTACTTTGTCGCATGCCCTTGAACAAAAGGACGGTTTCTACTGGACTGCATAGCATGATAGTTACACTCTACGCTGTAACTATTTATATAGAATTTGTCTGGCATATTCTCTCCCTTTGTTCGTCGCTTTTTATTCTCGTTACCGGTCAAATATTTTATCTGCCCGGGAAAAAAAAGCACACACCATATTTATAGTATTACAAGGACAAGAAAAGTAGATATGCCTATGGACAAAAAGGTGCCCCTTTCTATTTAAAGTCATTCTGATCTATGGCCTATCTTTATATTCACACCACACGCCGCAGATGTTGTAACCCTCCCGGCTGGATATCTTAGACCGGTGTCCTTTCACGGCTAGGGAGACCTTCAATTATCTAGTTAACAAACAGAGCAATGCGGATTTAAGAACTTACACAAGAGGGCTACCAAGGAAAAGTAGTTGTGGTGGTTGTGATGGATAGTAGAACCCCCGTGAGACTGCCGATTTTCACTGTTGAAGCTGTAGCCTTAAGTGAGTAGACTTGACTTTATCGATTGCATGAATATTTGTTTGTTAGGATTGCTTGGGTGTGTGGATTGTTTGAGCTGGTTTGTTTAAGTTCCCCAAACGTCACGATCGTCAGCCCCACGGTGAGGACCTACTGACTCCATCGTCAGCCGCTGCTGGGACACGGCAGGCCCTGCCATCAAGCAACAAACAAAGTGTGATGTGGAGCAGCAAATGGGCCATTTGGGATACAATGCAGTACCTGACGAGACATCTAGAGCTCTCCTGGGAGCATACAAATGGCACACCGGAGCGCGCTTGCACCATTCATTATTGTTCCCTCTGTACTCAGGCAATTATATAAGTACTGCACTATATTATTTCCCACTCTTGATATAAAGCGTGGCCGCAGATACGTGGGGAACCAAGATCATTTAGTTGTAGTTACACTTATTATAGCACCTGGATATCGCCTATTGAGCAGTGTATGCTAAGCTTTGCCAATAAAGCTCCAACTCTGCTTCTCGGCAAAGAACGGAATAAGCCGTGTTCCTCCAACGTGGCTTGTGTCCCATCAAAAAAGGTTGAGCGTCAGGAGTGGCGAGAGCCGAGCCAAGTGTGCACAACTCGTCGTGAGGCAATTTGCGGCACAGCTCGACCACGAATTTCCTGCGAATGCACCAATCGAGGGGCTGCAGGACGTCGGCAACATACCGAGCCGCCGTCCGCAGTTCACCGTCGATGGGTTTGTCTACGGGAGTGTAGTGACCCACCCTGGCGCCGGACCCACGTTCTATAGCCCGCGCGAGGTCTGAAGACACTGCCGCTGCATCATCAATATACCTTTTGATGCCTTTGTTCTGGAAGTGGGCAACAAACCACTGCAGCGCGGCCAGGGAGAAGTTGTGCATCCAGATTTCGCACAGCTTGTCGTCCATCTGCTGGGTCGTCCATGCACGTAGAACCTCCTCCTTCTGCTGCGGCGTGACCTCGCAGGAGCCGAGGCTGATCCAAGCAGCCAGCTGTCGCACTCTGAGGGTGGCGGATGAGTCGATTATGCGTGTGACCATCTGTCTCTTTGCGACGAGGAGCTCCGAGATGTGGTCCCCATACTGCTCCGCCATCCACTCGGCGACGGCTCCACTGTGAGCAATGGCGTGCTCAAAGGCATCCTGGCCGAGGAGGTCTGTGGCATGTATATCGGCGCCCAGGCTGATCAGCAGCGATACCGTCTCCACGTCTCCGGATCTGATTGCCAAGTGCAGTGCCGTCCCATTGATGCCCAGGGCATTGATGTCCAGCTTGGCTTCCTTGACGAGGAACTCCACAATCTCTCTCCCTCGATTCCTGTCACGCAATTCCACGGCGAACCCGATACTCAACATGCCAATGGAGTTGGTCGTCGGCAGTACCGAGTGCTGGCTCAGGAGCCGGAGCACACTCAGGCGCCCTCTCCAGATGGCATGTACGGCGAGAAATTCCCCGTCGATTTTGGTGGGAGCTCCCTTGGTCAGCAGGTAGCTGACAGTTTCGTAGTGGCCGTGGTTGACTGCCGCGAGTATGGGCGATGGCCATAGATGGTGGCCGGTAATGTCTACACCACGACCCTGCAGAAACTCCAGTACCGTGTTCTGCCCCCCAGAGGCGGTCGCCGACGCCACGCTGTGACGATCGACTATGCAGCAGAGATTGATCACATATTTGGCGCACAGGTACTCGAGCAGGTCGACGTCACCGCGAGCGGCGGCCCCGATGACGAGTTTGTCGAGCATTGTGGAGGTTGGTTTGGCGCCAAGGCGCTGGAGAGCCTCGATGAAGCGCTTGTGCGAGCCGTAGCGCGCCTGAGCTATAACCATTCCTTCCGACGGCGGCCCGACGACAGCGAGCTGAGCGTAGTATTTGTCGGCTTCCCTCAGGCGGCCCTGTATCATGAGGGCCAGCGCCACGGTTTCTAGCCAGACGGGACTGTGTGCAGCATCACTACGTCGCAGGCTGAGCAGGCTGAAGACCGCAAATGACTGGTTGCCACTGTCTATGGGAGAGTGGACCTGCTCATATATGGCGTGCAAGAGGGCTGTGATCTCCCACGTGGTATGGAAAGGGTTGCAGTCTAGTTTGTACTCCTCAATTGCGAGCTCCCGCAAAGGTGAAGGCGATAGAGCCACTCGGTGCTGGACACCAGGGCCGTACACTCCCCGGAAAGCACTATGCGCTGCATGTCGCAAAGCCCGGGATACTCTCTCGGCATACCACAGCGACCTGGCGTCGAGTGTGACGACCCGACCAACAGGGGAACTGTTTGGGGCTGAGGTAACAAACAGGCCCAGCACAAACAAGGCCGCAGGATCAGGCCAGGGACAAGGGCGGACCAGCGAAGGCTGGCGGCGAGCACATTATGTAATCACCCTACGTTATGTCAGCAACCGACAGCGGGCAGTCGCGTTGCGACCATCACCGGTCGGCCATGCGACAGCAAGCCATCGGCGTGCGACACGACGGTGTCGCAGGACGACGAACACGATGAAGGACAAAGGGTATATAGAGCCAGGAGGATCTCCTTGTAGACAGTCATTACCTTTGTACTTCAGCGATCAATCTAAGTATCATTCTCACCCTTCACTTGAACTAGTCACTCAATTGATTCGAGTGTGATATCTCGCAAGAGACACGAACGACAACTCCCAGAGAGCACGACAGCACGGAGTCAGTATTGCACAAGGCGCTACCTACCTTGTCAGGACATAAACCCCACAGCGCCCTGCCAGACGGTTGACCCCGGAGGCAGGATCGTGACATCGAGGTTCTCGAGCACATAAAGGAGCAGCTCGGGGGGCAGCCGCGTGAGAGGAAATGGTGACCCATTGCACAAACCCACTGTCGCCATAGTGAGGCCCGGTCGACACTTTCGCTATATCGGGTTGGGCAGGCTGAGCCGGCAGAGATGGTGACGTAATTTCATCGCTTGTCCACTGTATTATTGAGCAAACTCTTCGCTTTGTCGAAAAGCCCTCTGAGTCTTGCCGTGGAGTATTCATATTCTACGTGTATGCTACTGGTCACAGCTGCCAAACGAATCGTGGCGTGTTCCAAGCTCGCCTGGGGTGAAAGTCGCTGGGCACCAAGGCGGGCAGGTTTGTGTGTGCATGTTTGTGGATCCATGTTTGTGGAACTCGAGTATCACCCGTGGGGGTTTGGTTGCGAATGCCTGGTATGTCTGTGGGTGAGGAGGTTTGTTCGGACGTGGAACCTTAGTAAATTGGGTCGAGCAGAGCATTGACATGATTGGTTACAGCCGATGAGCTCCACAAACCGGCACAAACCTGAACAAACACACACCTGCAAGTGTAAGTCCAATGAGAGCGAGCGGGGCCTTGTCAGATCCACACACTTCTGGGTGCCCATGCTCGTGCTGCAAGCTCACGACGCCTGCATCGCTGCTAGTGCCGCAGTAGAGTCGGCCGTCATGCATGAACGGACGGGGCTCTGCCAGCCGGGGCGGCGCACCGGGGCCGTGCTGCTTCCCGACTGAGCACGGGACCCTGTAGGGCATACGCCGGCGATATGCGGCATCATCACAAACTTGGGCAGTCAGGTTGGTCATGTTTGATTTGAAGACTTGGCAGGAAGTGGCGGTTTGATACTGTACTGGGATGTCCCGCCAACCCCAAGTTCTCCAAGAAGCATCACGAGCCGAGACACGGTCCCATCCCAAGTTGGACGATTTGTCCTACCCCGGTCGTGTGCTGGGAGGGAGAGGTCCGTTGTTGGTTCTCGTCAACAGCCACCATCAGGTCCACTAACACGGGTCTCCGCAACCCCTCAGACGAGTCAGCCGAGGGGGAACCACCTGGTCTCTTTTCGGCGCGCGCAGAAATTCACGCAGTCTGCTCAAGCTTTCCCGGTGAGGTTTACTTACTGTAAGGCCGAATAGCTATAACAAAGTCAACTATCAGCAGGCAGCCGCCTTGGGGTGCTCATCTAAGGACAACGGATAGTTCCCGTCCCAGGGGATTCCCGCAATGAATCTGCGCCACCTCCTCACGTTCGGAGCTCTGGCGGCCAGTCAGAGCTCCGAGTATGTCGGCAGCCAACAAGCCCTCATCCACCACGACGACCACAACCAGCCGCATGTGCTTGCTCAACTCGTCGCCGTCCCATGGCCGCGCCCAGCCAGCCGGCGGAGCCTGAGCGCGAAGGGCTGCCGCTGCCTGCCGGGAGATTCATGCTGGCCCTCCCAGGCGAGATGGAACGAGCTCAATGCAACTGTCTCTGGCAGACTGGTGGCGACAGTCCCCATCAGCTCAGTCTGCCATGATCCGACCTACGACGAGCAGGCATGTACAGCCCTCCGCGCGTCGTATAGCGAGCCAGAGACACACTACAGCTCGTCCTCGTCCATGATGGAGCGATTCTGGGCCAACCAGTCCTGCAACCCGTTTGCGCCCCGGGCGACATCCTGTGCCGACCTCGGCAATCTCGTCAGCTACGCCGTCAACGTGAGCGGGCCATCGGACATAGCCGCAGCGATAGGCTTTGCCAAGTCTGAGAATATTCGGATCGTAATCCGAAACACCGGGCACGACTTTGTCGGGAGGTCGACGGCGCGCGGGGCGCTGACGGTATGGACGCATCACCTCAAGTCGATGGAGTTCGTGGCGGCCTACCAGTCGGCACTGTACACTGGGCCAGCACTGAAGATGGGCGCGGGCGTGCAAGGCTTTGAGGCTGCAGCGTTCCTTGCGCCGCTCGGGTTCGTGGCCGTCGGCGGCTGGTGTCCATCCGTGGGTGTCGCCGGAGGCTTTGACGCCGGAGGTGGCCACTCGCCGCTGGGGTCCAAGTTTGGCATGGGCGCGGACCAGACACTCGAGTTCGAAGTGGTCACGGCCGAGGGCGTGGCGGTCACGGCTTCTCCAGTGGCCAACCCGGATCTATACTGGGCATTGAGCGGCGGCGGGCCCGGCAACTACGGCGTGGTGACAAGCGTGACGGTCCGAGTGCACCCGGACGCGCCGGTGGCCGGCCTGTTTCTGATGATCGACCGGAAGACCGTCTCGCCCCTCGCGTTCTGGGCGGCCATGCGGGTCTTCTTCGAGCTGATGCCGGCCATTGTCGACCGCGGGGTCGGAGCGACGTTCAGCCTGGGCGCCGACGTGTTCTACCTGACCCCGCTGACGGCGCACGGCCTGACGCTGCTGGCAGCCCAGGCGCTGGTGCAGCCTCTGGTCGACGCGCTCGACCGTGTCGGCATCGCGAGCACGGCGCAGTGGCTGGCATCGCCGGGCTACCACGCGCACTGGACGACGTTTGTCGCGCCCGGGCCGGTGGGGTCGTTCTGGCAGAGCAGTGCGCGCATCGTGCCGCGCGGCGTCGTCGAGGACGCGGCCGGCCTGAGCAAGCTCATGGCCGCGCTGCAGCACATGGTGGACGACGGGGGCGTGACCATCGGGGGCACAGTGGTCGGCGCGGTGAAGCGGACGGGCGCGGCCAATGCGGTGCTGCCGGCGTGGCGGGACGGCGTGGCACTGCTGGGCCTGCTGACGCCGTGGAGCGACGCGCCTGCCGACTGGGCGCAGATGCGGGGCCGGCAGCGGTGGCTGGGCGATGAGATGCGGCCGCTGATCGAGGACGTGACGCCGGGAAGTGGGACGTACATGAACGAGGAAGCAGAAGTGATTACGGCACCAGTGCTCGATTCGACTGATTCAGTTTGGCCAGAGAATGCCACGTAGAAGTCGAGGCCCTCCCGGTCGCCGTTGGGGCACATTCCCGCCATGACATCCTTGATCGGGGTAGTACTAGAAACCCCTAGAATGGTGGTAAAGGCCAGCTTGCAGACAAACCCGGACCCATCCCGCCCGCAGGTGATTGTCGTTGTTGGTGGAGGGTTGCTCCAGGTCCTCGGGTCGAGCGAGGTTGCCCTTCAGCTTCCAGGCTATGGTCACAGACTTGGTAGTGTAACCTGGGAAAGACGAAAAGTTGAAGTACAGGTTAGGACCTATGAAGTCGAGGCAAACCCGCGAGATGACGATGCCGCCGCTGGGCGTCGTGAGGGCGATCGGCGGGCATTGCTGCACGTAGTTGTTCTCGAAGGGCAGCTGGAAGTTGTCCTTGTCGGGCAACGGCACGCCCGCGAGACTACAGTCCTCAGTACAAATGTCGTAGTACGATCTCTTGGACAGCAACTCGACCGCTGCCCTGACAGGAGTTGGCCCCAGCGCCGCGCCTGCTAGGTCAAGACGGCCGAAGAGGCGAGCAAGTATGTCGAGATGCATGCTGGCTGATTGCCGTGGCTTTCCAAGACCAACCGGACTGTCGACGATCTGAAAATGGAGAGGTTCTGATGGCATTCATATCCGACATAAGGCATTTCCCCACCTACTCACCTACCTAGTGCATACATGCCCTCGTACATAGTCGCATCGCGGGCTTCAGCCAGCCTATGTCTGCAAGCAATCGTGGCTGTAGAGGGACCGGTTATGTTTGGAGGGAGACTCTGAATGGTGGCATTGCAAAGACCTGAATTTTGTGTAACAAACATTTGGGCCCACACCTCGATATGGTGCGAGGGGCAGCCGCAACTAGTGCCCACACCCTACCCTCCCAGCTCTGATCCTTAACACTGTCAAGCCCTGTAGTGGTGTCAGCGCTACAGCGCGGGTGGAGTAACCCCTCCAAGCGAAGCACGCCAATCACAACCAGGCCGTACTCAGCCCGAGTCTTGTAAATTATGGTGTCAAATTGTCGCCAAGTTGGTTGTAGCTGCAGGTATGAATCCACCACTTTTTACGTCATCCAGTTAACGAGCATCCCAGGCCGTCTGATTTGACGAGAGCTGCTGCCTTCCAAGCCGCCACATAGCCTGTCCACAGAAAGCCGAAGATCTCAGAAATACAAGCATCCATATAGGTCTCCTCGTCAATACTTACGGGAAAGTCGCCGGCGAAGACGGAAGAGGCCGTCGGGGGAGTCCCAGTCCCGTGCGATGCACGAATGTGGGGTTCATCCAACACAACAAACATGCGCGTTGATCAAACACAACACTTTGGTCAAACATACCGGATTTCAGACACAAATCGCTTCTAGCTATCTTAGCGCTGGCCAAAAACGTGCAATACGGGCGTTCCGTGTGTCTGCTATTCCGCTACCTTATGAGCACGTGAATCTTGGGCCTCCCGTTCTCCTTTTACTTGGAGTCATTGACCCTTCTTATCAGACGGAGTCGTAACCTTTAGTACAATGTAAATCTTTGAAATGCATTCTATCCATCCGCTCATCCCTTGCTTGTTGTCGCGGACCGACTAATTGGTCGGTTCTACCTTGCCATAATGAACGACAGTCAATCTCTTGCCTTACCACCAAGTCAGCTCATGCTGTTACCCCGAGAGCTGCTCCTTTGCATTCTTGAATACCTCGATGCCAGATCCTTGACGCAGGTAGAGAAGGCCTCTCGCGATCTGAGAGATGCCGCGAAAGCTGCATTCAGAGGCGTATATGGCCCTGGTATCCATCACCGCCAACTTCAATCAGGGTTGCCGTTTCGCGAACTTGCGATTGAAGAACAACTATACGGCTGCGATGCGTTCGACACTGAGAAGGATATCAAATTTCTTTTGCGAGTTATGTATAACCAAGTGCCAGCGCCCACAGACAACGATAACGATCACTTTGCCGCTTTTGTCCTTATTAGCATACGAAGGAGTCGGGCTGAAAGTACGCCTGCCTGGCTGGAGACTGCAGCCCTTGCCCTTATGATTCAGACCCGCATTGAGGAAGCCGACGCGTACTATGAGCGCCTCGCTGCCATTGGGCCTTTCCCACCGGATGTCGCTCTCGCGCAGGCCAGGTTTGGCTCCTGCCAACGATTCGCCACTACCTTGCGGAATCTTGCCAAACCACCCACCGCACATCTGCTCGCAAAGTCGGCAGTGTGCGCTGCTGTGAGGGGAGATGTCGACTTGCTCAAGTATCTGTGCGCAAACTTCTCGGTACAGCTGGACTGGGCGATCGGCGACTACACCACCGCATCTGTCGCTGCCTTTGGTGGACATATCAATGTGCTGGAGTTTCTCCACAACCGCGGCGTTAACATTGTGTCTCCAATGCTACGGCCATTGCCAATTCTCACGGCAGTCAACTGTGGTCGCCAAGAGGTGGTGCGGTATCTGCTGGAAAAGGGAGCGCCCACCTGCCACAATGGGTTGCTGCTAGCTGCCAGCGCCATATCTCGAGGATTCTTGGACATCCTCCGCCTGATTTCAGACGCCAGGACCCTCCCAAACGCCGACCTCGCCGGGAGACTGCTCATCGGATATGCTGTAGAGTCCGAGATTGCAGAAAGTCGGGAAACAATCATCGAGTTCCTTGTCGTGGAAGCTAAGCTCGACATTAACGCTCTCGGCGTGGGCGGTACAGCACTTCACATTGCAGTCAAGTCTGGCAATATAAGGATTGTCAAATGTCTGCTGAGACTCGGTGCAGACCCGCTCGCCAAAGATCTCCTTGGACAGGCTGTCTTTGAGCACGCCGTTTCCCACAATCGGCCAGTTGCCGAATGGTTCGCCGAGGAATACGGAGCATCTATCTCTAAATACGCGGTGCCGAAGGCTCGACTAGTCGCAGAGGTCATGCAGTCGTGGACGCAAAACTGGATCTACCGACTGGCCGATTGGGTTCAGGACAGCGTCCTTGTGTCGGCGCAGGACACTAAATTCCAAGCTGTCGGGCGTGCATGGAGGGCTCACGGCATGAACGGAAAGCTTTCCAGTATATGGTTGCGCAATCTATCGCTTACAGCATTGCAATGGTATGTGGGCGAGTTTCGAGGCAGGGACGTGGAGAAGTCTTACCTGGATGCCGCTGCAATCTCTTTCGGCCTAACTCGGGTGATTGATTCAAGATACGGTTTGACGACTAGAGAGCACAACAGTCCAATCAAAGACGACGAGCTATTACAGGCGGCCCTAACGATCGCAACTGTTTATCACCCCTTCGAATCGCTCATGCGCCAGGCGCTTGTGTCAGAGCTGCATCAGAGAGTGCCCGCTGCGCGCATCCGTGCACTCGGCCAAGTTCTTGCTGATCCCGATGCCCAAATGTTCCTGATGGGCCATGCGGCAATCGCCCGGGAGGAGGCCGAAGTATTTACGAAACTTATTGATTCACAACGTTGGAGGCTCCGGGGAAAGGGATGATGGCTGATCCTGCTGGGTCAGGATGCTCCTAGCGTGCGAAGTAATTTTACTTGCAGATTTCTTCTCGCGCACAAGGGTGGGAGCTCAAAGGAGCACTTCTCTAATGACGAACGACCTTTTGCGTGATAATCTAGATGTGAAGGTGGAAAGAAAAGGACGCAAATGAGTTCATCGAAGCTAAAACATAGAGTTGGAAAATCGAGCTAGCCTTGGACGTAAAAGGTCGGGGTTGTTTTGGTCATGCGAGCAACATTGACGGTGATATTATATGCAGTGTCGATCCGTACGACTCCGATCGGAATAGAGGTCTGGGATAGCACGTATCTGCCACCCGACTTCCTAACACTGAGCCATTATATCACCAAGCTATATACTCTTGCTAGATCTACAGGAAGGTGCTACAATGTTCCTATTGAGCATGGATCGAGGACAGGTCCCTCCAGCAGGCATGCCGCAAACGGAGCTCCATGGTCATAGTCTAGAATGCTGTTGAGGAAGGGTGAATCGCATGATGCTGCCCCAGAATGATTTCTTCCTACCTGTCAGATCTTCGATCATCATCTTCGGGATCTTATCATGGTACTTCTTCAAGATCCTTCCGTTGAAACCCTTCTCGGTCCAACACATTGTCAGGTAGTGTGGCCCCCTGGATCTCACTACTTCAACCCTCAACATTACGGTAGGGGGCTTCGGGCTTGCCTCCAAGCTTCCTTCGAAATCGACCTCCTCTGGATCTTTCCCTGCCCCGACCTCCCGCATCATTCTCAGAACGGGGCGTACACGCTTGGTCTTCAAGAGACCGGGACAGCTATCGATGAGAGCTGTATTCCAGTCGAACATAGTGGCATCCTGCAGTTCGCCGCTCTTCGTGAAGCCACGCACTAGTTCAGAGAGTCTTGGATAGTTCTCGAAGACCTTGGCAAGTTTGTTGTTTCGCCATTCTTTCTCCTTAATAATCTCCGTCGGCACCAGGACGGTGTGTATTTTTTTCTCCCCAACAAGCTTCAGGAATCTCCATGCCGAATACATGTCGACAGCAACGTTGAACTGATTGGTCAAGATGTTGAGATTGCCGTAAATGTAGCAAGCCATAGTTGTGGCTCTCTCCATGGGCAGATCGTTCTCAACCCACTTGAGAGCTTCGGTGAAGGGTCCGCCTATGGCCGCGCGCGGGCCTGCATCCTTTCTATGAAGCAGACCGTAGACTAGTGGGAGAGCTTTCTTCAGCTTACTTTTCTCGGCTGCAGTTCGTTTCTCTTCACGCAGGGCGTTTTCCTCCTCTATGAGCTGATCAAATGGGAGGACGATGTCGGCCTGATTGGAAGCTCGTCGTTTGCCATCTTTGACCTGAATGTAGTCGTTCCACACCCCGAGTATGAGCCTTTCACGCTCTTCGCCATCGTTTGACTTCAAGGCTACGTCGAGCCGCTCCTTCAGAGCCTCAACACTCGCATCTTCTTCTCGAAATACCCATATGTAATCAGGACTGTGGCCCTGGTGTCTCATTCCTGGTGATATCTTCTCCATTGAATCCTCGTCCGTATAGAACTGGTAGCGATCTCGAGGTAAGTTAAGACCGTCCAGAAGGGTCGTCCAATCGTGCGCAATGAGCTTGATATAGGTACTTGCAATGGACTTAAAATGGCTGCCATCGGCCTCAAAAAGTCGGTCTGGCTTGCTGAACCACTTTTCCGCGATGTCTTGCCTGATATCCGTAACCCATTTCGGCTTTTCTGTAAACGGTGTCAACATGCGTCTTATGACTTCGTTGTTATCGACCTCTCCGTTCGGTCGCTTAGTGTACTCCGAAACGTCGTTGTACACTTCACGGAAATGACTACCATAGTCCTTAACAGTGAGGTCGACAGGCCGAGGCGAGAGAATGACACAAACACGTCGACGTGCGTTGCGCCGAATGATGGAGAGAACCATTACAAAAGAGTATACCAAACTCAGCATTGAGGACGCACGGGTATACTACGTCCTAGCAGCAGTAACCGATCTCTGGATTGGTTGGCGCATTAATGGAGACTGGGAACGAATAGAGGTCGAAGAATGGGGACAAAAAGAAGTTCTTATACTTCAACCCTACCGGTTTCTACAGAGTATATTTCTGATCGTGGCAAAGCAAACCGAACCACAACCAAAAGGCCCTCTAAGCTCCAGTTCCGGCGGGATCTCCGACGGTGACTCTGCGGACTTCGCCCGCAGAGTTAAGTGAGGGTCCACGCTTGCCATCACTGAGCAGCTGGACTGTACTCCACCGTGTTATGTGCAATTGCCCTCTGCTTATGAGAAATCGCCTGATTACTGCATTGCGAATCGAACGAGCACAGAATTGAGCGAAAAAAATGGGTGAAGATAATGTTGTATTGTGGTGGTGGTTCAGTCGGCTTGATGCGATGCGCGAAAGTGAAAAAGAGGCTACGCTATAAATACATGAAAAGAAGTATGCGGAATGCCCTGTTCATGTGCCAATCTACCCTGCCCTGTCACACTATCTTGCATTTCCGTGGGCGATACAGGACAAAAGGTACGACACTGCAAGAAGTTGCTAGGATCTGTTCTCAACCTACTCTTGTTGACCCAGGGGGTTGATTACCAAACGTCCATCTCGGTAAAGCGGGCTGCTATGGTGACTGACACGTGGTCAGGCATCGCGTTAAATTCTCGTCTCAAGCAGCTAATGTCTGGGATCCTAGTATCAACCGTTCCGATCACGTACGCGTAGTTGTTCGTGATGGCACTACCGCCGTTGTGCTCGCGCAACCGTTCCAAAATGTTAAACAACTCCGCACGGGTCTTAAATCATCGACGAGGGCTAGCTCTCTGAAGCCTATCCTTTAGATTTGCTCCGAGACGCCGTCGATATTATCTGATTGCGAGTTAGCTCTTTGTCGAACAACGGAAGAACTCAGCGTTATGGGCTATTGCGCGGCCACGGAATCTTATGGACATGCGTGTGAAGCTTCCTACAGCTCGCATGGTGCGGCGCCGTGTGCTTGGGCTAAGGCTGAGGTTCGGTGCTAATATTGAGCGAGGTGCCGAATAAGCTTGTAAAACCTTCAGAGTCCTTGCTCGCGTTGCACATTGGAAGAAGAACCGCCATTCTGTTAGGCCAATATGGTGATCACGAAGAGCATAAATCTGCCTGTTGGCAAAATCACAAGTCGTTCATTGTACGTGCGAGGATCCAAATAGCATTATTCAATCATGTAACCGAGATATGTCTCAACCACCAATCGTAGCACTCGCGCTCCGCCCACCTAAATAAGATGCACAGGGATTTGAAGACCTGATAACACCCCGAAAGTGAGGCCGTGTTTCCCAAGCCAAAGGGACCATATGCTACTGCATTGGGACCTTCACGGACGATGAAACTCAACTCCCACTGCGCGCTGACGACTTTGAGCTGCGGCAGAATCGTTTCTGAGCCTCCCCTAATCCCTCTCTCAGCAGGCTCTTTCTCCCTCGTTTCTTCTACCTGCGGATCTGGAAACTGCTGCATCAAGCGTAGCTGGGCCCGACCATAGCTAGCCAATTGACCTGAAGCCTTTTCAACACCAGGAGCGAGACGCTTAGTCTCGACACTAACGGCAAGGGGCCAGTCCGGCTCGAAGGCATTGAGGTGGTTGAGCTGCCGAACCTGATCGACATCGCGCGACATCAGATCGAAGATACGATACTGCAGGTCTGACTTCTCGGGTGGCGCGAGGAAGATCCCGAAGTCAATGCGACAGTCGCATAGAGTTGCTGTCGCTGCTCCGCCACCGCCCCTTCTAACCGTTCTCGCGGCATCGCCGTAGCGGCCGTCAACTTGCACCGACGTCAGGTTCCGACAGCGCAGTGACGATTGTTGGCGACAGGCGAGCCGGAGCATAGGCGAGTGCACCACGTCGTTCCACTCAACCTCGAACGTCTGCCGGCTCGGATCGCTGCACTCCTCTGTACCGTCGCAGATACGCCCCAATTGCCATAACCGATCTCGATGACGCTTGGCATGATCGTCATTAACTTTGACAACCTTGGATTGGTTGTGGCCATCCTCGCTTTCGTCCTCGTCGTCCTCACCACCAAAGAACATGTCGTCGCTGATAGCTTCGAATGGCGAGTAAAGAGCCTCGATCTCCTCTTTTAAGGCCAATGGCATGATATGTTTCTTCGTCGATACGGCTCGTACATCCTTCAACAGCGGCCCGAGGCGTGCAGGCAATCGTGGATCCTTTAGCGACCTTCGAAGCAGAGGGAGGTCATCAGCGTAACGCATCCCTCGTTCACGCTTGATCGGTGATGATGCGCGCGATGATGTGGTACTGGTTGCTGATCTGCGCGATAGAATTGAGTGCGACGAGGTCTGCCACGGAGCAAATTGTAACAGTGGAGAGCGGAGGAGGATGTTATGCTTTTCAGTCTCATATCTTTTTCGTGCAACATTCACTTTTGTATTAAGTTAGGCACTTGCCCTCCTGACCCGAAACACTTCGGGTAGTTATTCGAGCCTATAATTTCAACATACATTCAACGACTTGTATTCAAAAGTGCTTCTGACGCGCCTGGTCCACATAGGGTCAATTTTACTAACATCAACAGAGCCAAAATGGGCTAACCAAGATATACCTGGTCAGATGAGCCTCTAGGCAATCGATAACTAATTGGACCTACTCTGACAGCTTTCCAACCATTCTCAACATGGTCCCACATGTGCGAAACGCGGTTAAAGGTGCGCGTCCGATCGACGTATAGAAGCCGCTCGTTTCCTATGCAAATGATACATTAGGTCTTCTTCCAGACGATAGGAGATTCATCAGGGGCTGAGAAGGGAGTGAGAGCGGAAGATTCTTTCTTGACCAGATCCTTGGAGGCCGGAGCCGACAGCGGCTTCGAGTCTGAAGCTCTTGTCGAGAGGCGAGCGCGATTAGGAGGTTGATGGCAGAGACCTTCCGAGCGACGATGGCTTGAGGAACTCGTATACGAGGCTGTCATTGGCCATTTGGGCTTCAGATAAAAGAGCTGGAAATAAGAAGATATTAAACCCGGAAAGTAGGAAGCTTGCAAATTCAGAATCCTCTAAAATGTTCTAGATAAGGCATTCTGTGAGAGTTTCTATCAAGAATTCTGCAATTATTTCTAAGTTATATTTTTGTTAAGAGGATCCGTCGTCGTACCGTTCTCTGTTCCCTGTGGCTAGGAAATGACAGCGCTGGGCGATTTGGGAGTCATAAATATATAGAACGGAGCTATATCAGGGTTTAACTTGCCTCAGGCTTACGACCGTAAACTAATGTACTATTATTCCTCAGTTAGTGATTGACAACACTCCGTTGTGGACAAAGGGGGAAATAGAAGGACTAGCACTATACATCTCGTAGTATGGATATAGCCTCCAGTCTCTCAGCGCTTGTCTCATCTTCGCCACCAGCACCTGAATCTCATCGTACTTCCAGCCCATAATTTCTTTCAGCATGTACAGTGCAAACCCCTCGAGCGACTGATCCAAAACCAGTAGCGTATACTGACCAACGAGCTTCAGCTTCGGATCCGAGGTCCACCCACCGATCGGAACCTTCCACTTCTTCTCCACAACATCCACGAAGCCTGCGTCGATGATTTGCTGCTTCATCTGGGCCGCGACCTTGAAGGTTCTGCCCATTTTCTCGCCGCACTCAGCGAATAGATTATTCCACTGGACGAAGACGTGATCCGGGCCGACCTTGTCGGACTTCGTAGCGATGTCGAACTCGAGCTCCTCGATCAAACCGCCGGGTTTGGTGTGCCGAAAGCATTGCGCGTAGAGCGCCGGCCAGTCGCTGATGCTGCCGTGCAGGTTCCGGATGTGCACGAAGTCGAAGTGGTTGACGGACCAGGTCCACGGCATCTGCGCGTCGTCGATCTCGAATTTGCAGTTGGGGGGTACCCAGGCGGGCTGAATTGGGGAGATGTCTGTGCCGACTACCTCCGCCGAGGGGAATTGGTCGGCGAAGTCCCTGGAACAAGAAGTCAATGGCGTGCGACTGCTGAAGGGAATTGTTTCCAGCTTACATAGCCCATATGCCGGTACCAGTTCCAACATCCAAGACATTCTGCGGCAAGCGGGTGAGCTGCATGGCATGAGAAGGAAGGCCGACTCGGAGGTCACTGACTTGAGGGAGATCACCGAGAGGGGCGAGGAAGAGCTGGTCGTCCAGCAGAAGCGTTAAATAGTGATGCCTGCACAGCTGTTAAGGTCCATAATAGCCTAGAAAAGCCTCGGAACTTACGTGATATCTAGGCCATCATTCTGTTGGGCATCGTTCGGGGCCCTGGCGGGGATTATTGGTCAATTGCCCCAGGTTGGACTTGCTTGACTTACCAGTATTCCGTCGTCTTTGAATTCTGAAAGGTCCTGCCGTGGATCTGGCGGTAGTGAAGAATGCTATCTGTCAAGGAGGCAGTGGACTCCGCGATCCTGTTTGATTCCTGCATTAGCCACATCTACAAAAAGATCGTCAAGGCTTTCAGCTTACTCGTCCCCGGCTGAAGAATCGGCGTCATCTCCAAAATCTGGATCCTGTTTGAACTAATCAATATTTTTTCCGAATTTAGACGGCACTTGACAGTATTATGGGTACTTGCAATGGGGATTGGAGCCGCCTCAGCTTCATGTTGTTGGGGTTCGGTGCTAGCCATACTGTACTCCGCAGCGGTAGCGCTGAAAATTACAGCAAGGACGAAAAAGCCCCAATGGAGCCAGGACGAGACCCTTTATCTTATCAAATGGGCCCATTATCCCCCCACGGACCAGGCCCGCGGAACATCCGATGTATGCATTCCTTTAACGTAATCCACAAGCGAATGCACCACACATGCGAGTGCACCACTATCTTATCGCACATTACCTCACTATAACGTTAACTTACTACAACTCACCCAATTTGAGATAGAAAAGCTTAAAAATAAGACTAAGCGTAAACGATAAGGCTATTATGTATGAAGGTACAGTATCAATACTTAATAAGATGTCCAGCACACTCTGACTTCGCGCAGCATCACTAGCGCGCATAGAATGGTCTCCGTGATTGTGAGCTGTGGCATGTGAAGCTTAGTCCAATTCTGGCTTCTTCGTGTCGGGAGTCTGCCGGACCTCATGAACCCCCTACCCCACTAACACCCCTCCCCCCACACACCACACACTGCATGTCAGCCGCGCCGCAATTGGCGCGAGCAGGAAATGGCGCCTCCGTGAGCAAGGCGAGTGACATTCTCTTGACTGGGTGTATGGCGTGGCTTAGCTGGGCGAAATTCTTCAGCTGCCCAAGAGACTGCACAGAGCTTCTTCCAAGGGATGAGCACTGCCACCAGGTTGTGGACGGTGCCCCTGCGCATGGTCGCATACTACCTCAGTTTGCGAGGATTACGTTACCAGCTGAGGAAGTCTGCAAAGCCGTACAAGTCAGGGCACAAATGCAGGCGCTTCTACACGGGTGCATGGATTGTGTAGTCACAGTGATGATGGAGCACGCAGCATGATGCTCTGGGTGGGGTGGGGTGGGGTGCCCACTCGCCAAGTATGCCCCGCATGGACTCTGAAGCTTGATGAGTCAGGGGATATGTTTGGATATCTGTCGCACCCTTGAGATATGGGTGTCACGATCCGACCTCCGGGGTCAACCGCCCGGTCGGGCTTCGGTGGGTTGCTATTCTGCGGGTAGGTAAAGCCTTTGCAATATCACTGCTTCGTCGAATGTCGTTCTCTCTCTTGGTGTTGCCGTGTCTCTTGGAAGAGATACCACTCTCGTCAATTGAGTGACTGGTTCAAGTGATGTGTGAGAATGGTACTTAGATTGATCGCTAAAGTACAAAGGTAATGACTGTCTGGTCAAGGAAATCCTCCGAGCTATATACCCTTTGCCCTTCAGCTTCGTGCCTCCTGTATGATGCCGTCCTGGCTGTGTGCGGCGCCGCTCCATGGTGGTGCGGTGCCGCTCTTCGTGGTGCGGTGCCGTACCTTGAGCCTTGGCACCGCTCCATGGTCGGCTGAGTCATCTGGTCCCTTACATAATCTGGTGTGCTGCCTTCCGCATGATCCGCCCTTGTCCCTGGCCCGATCCTGCGACCTTGTTTGTCTGCCTGCAGCCCAAACAATCGACCTGTTGGCTTGGGTCGTCACAATGGGATGGCGATGGGATGGCGATGAGAATCGGATCTCATAGGATAGGTATATACATAGGTGATTGGGATCCTGTGCATGGTCTCTGCCTAAGCTAAACAGGCGGATGGAAGGAATGAAATATGACGAGTTTGTACATCAGGGCCATTTCTCCGCTCTTACTTTTACGCCAGGTTAAAGGCCTTCTTAGCGGCGTCCCAGTACTTTCTACGCTCGTCGTTATTCGTATCGACGCCCACGCACTTCATATGCGCCTGGTAGACATCGTCAACGTTAGGCTTAACACCCTTAGCGGCCTCGCGGGCTGGGGCACAGTCGGCCTGTTTAGCGTAGAACCAAGGGCCGGACTTGAAGTTATATTCGTCGGCGGTGACGAGGTCGAGAACCCTGTTCTTAGCTTCCATAGTGTCCCCAGGGATAACCTGGCCTTTAAGCTTGTTAAATGACTTCGCAAACTCGAGATTGTACTTATAGACCTGCATATTAGAAGTTCCCTGGCCCCAGTGGAATTCTTGCTCCTGGGCCGGGTTAGTAGACTGGAGGTTTCGCTTATACCTGAACTCGACGGACTCGAGGGCGATTAGGGCGAGGATAGAGGCCATAGCGACGGGCTCGTAGATGTCGTAGGCTTGGAAGGCCTCAACCATGGCTGTACCGACCTGCACGTTTGTGCGGCACTGCCGGGCGTCGGCGCAGGTTTTAGATGACGGTGCGATCTGGGCGACGATGTCGGCCGCGACGAGATCGGCGCGGCGCTCGAGGGAGGCTGCGGTGGTGGTGTCAACCAGCAGAGCGGCGGCAGTAGCGATAATGATAGAGGTCTTCATGATGTGTCCTTGAGCGTGTGTCTGTACGGTATAGAGATGGTATGTGCGAGTGGAATTCGAAGGTGAAATGTGAGCCGATCGTGTCAAACGAGGAGGCTGCGGTGCTGGTTCCGAGTATGAGGAGTTACGAAGAAGCTGGACGCAAGAAGGACGTAAAGTGGTTACTAGTAGAGATATGCGTCGTTCAAAGAGCGAAGAGTTGTGGAAACAAGGAGAACAAACATCAGGACCTGTAGAAGGAGGCTGGTGGGATTGTTTTGTGTGTTTATCGGGAAGGGGCAGCCAGTCGGGCAGGACACCCGTTCAGCTGCGCGACTCGTCAAAAATGAGTCCGTCAGCTCCATGGCCCTTTGGCAATGTGGCTCATCCGGATGGCTGATGTATGCCCCCCCAGAGCTCGATTCCAGATGGGCTTGACACGATCCATCGAGCAAGTCCCGCAATAGGAAGTATTCCTGCGTCAGCCTCCCTTCCACGCCGTCGCAATGCCACGCTGAATATTTTATTATGCTGTATTCTGGTGGGCCTTGCGAGAGCCCATTGTTCCATCATAGACGTCTACTAATGCATTAACTACCGTAATTCAAAAATTATCCCTAATTTTATTCTGCCCGCAACTATTGCTCGAATCTCGAGCACGCCTGGCCTGCTGCGTTCAAGATAGACCCAAACTTTCAACTCAAGCTACATTTTTGCCTCGCGGAACCTATTCCGTCCATCTTTTCCGTCTCCTCGCCCGGTCGTCATGGATGCTGAATGCGGGACTGAGCTGGGAAAGCCAAGCAGCGGGGCGTGCGGCGTCGAGGTGACATAATTCAAGACCTCGCGCCGCTCAGAGTCCTTAAACGAGTGCATGACTTGCAGAACATCTCGACGGTGGGGTGCTCGAGGTCGTCGTCTCCTATGGTGTATAGGCCCGAGTATTGCGTGTTGCGGCGCAGGTCCTCAACGTCAATCTCGGTGCTGTCGCCGCCCACGAGGCGCTGCAGCTTCGACTGGTTGAACATGGCCAGCCAATAAGAGTTGATGATGGTGCCCAGACCACGCAGGAAAGCTGTGGTCTGGCGGTACGGCTGGGCAACCAGGCGGTGGTTGACAACGTAACATATGTAGAGGGGCCGGTCCTTGTTCGTGACGGGCACGCTCGATCCTTCTTTGCGCAGAGGCCGTGTGATTGTGTGGACTTTGCCTTGGAAGTCCCTGATCTGGTCTGTTATGGTGAAGTCTAGTGAGAGATCGGCAACGTCCCCAGGATAGTTCTTGAGGCTGATGAGACCTTGGTACAGCTCCGGATCCATGTCCCGAAGATCGTTGAGATTCGCCCTGTGGTCGGTAGGTGAGGTCTGACCTGACGACGCACACTTGAGCAGGAAGAAGCTTGCAAAGGATACGTCGACAAGGATACCCTCGTACATGCTCTTCCTAATTAGCCGGCCCAAGAACTCGTCCCGCCTGGACAGGTCCGTCATTCCGTTGTTCCATTCCGGCGATCCCATGGCGGTGTCAGTGTAACGAAGGAGTACAGCGCGCTCACCAAAGGCGCCGGGGTTTGGATACAGCATGTTCTGTCGGTACAGATTTTCAATAGGGTTGAGATCTGGGCTGTATGGTAGCCAATCCAGTACTAGGATACCTGAATTGTCGAGCCATTCCTTTACCACTTTTGCTGTACGAACAGGCGCATTATCATGCATAAAGACAGTATCGTGATCCAGCACTGTCGGTAAGTATTCTTCAATGTGATCGCGATAAACTGCGCCTGTTACACCGCCTCTTTTGGCGTCAGGGTCCCCTGGGAGTACCACCAATGGGCCTCGATTGCCGTGCCGGATACCGCCCCAGAACATGAGGGAATGCTACGGTTTTTTTTTTTTTGGCCTTGTATGTACTTCACCTCGATTGCTTTGGAGCCTGGAAGCGTTCAAGTCAGACAACTATTGACAAAGTTCTGGTATGTTGAAGTTCCATACCTTTTGGCCGCCAAACCCACTTCTGGCTCTGCCCATCGCCGCATTGAACAGAGCACTCGTCACGGAACGAAATCCGACGAACCCAGGCAGCTGCTTTATCACGACTCGCCCGTGCACTGCAGGTCGGAGGCCGAAGCGGGGCCACACCTTCAGAGTGTGCATCTACTACCTACCAAACGATCCTGGAAGCGGGGATCGCGATTAGATTCAAACTCTCGTCGGTCGTCTTCTCCTCGGTCACACTGAGGGTGAAGTGGACTCGGAGCATTGGCTTCCACGTCCAGCATCGAGGGGTTTCCCTGGCATGCTCTGCCAATATGCTACACTGATCTCCACCACATCAGAACAATCGCGCCTTCGTTGCTTCCTCGTGAAGCGGCAAGGGCCGACCATCCATGAACTCAAAGTCAAGCCACTCTTGTGTCCCCAAGCCCTCGAAAAGAGCCATGACCTCAGGGCTAGGTCTCCAGTCGCCAATCTGCCACTGGATCATCCGAGCCGTCGTCCTTACCTCCTCACCACCACCACCACCATACTTGGCAGACGGCTGCTCCTGCCCAGCGTACCCTTCCTCTTCCACGCGAATACCCGACGGCGCCCACTCCCAAAAGCACCTTGCTGCCAGAATCTCCAACAGCGCTACCTAGGTTGGAAGGTCGCCGCTGGTCCCGGTGATTAGAGGCTCTACAAAGGTAGTAACTCAAGAGGCCGAGCAGGTAATATTTGAGTAAGCATAGTCGAAGGCTTCCAGATACCCTATCATCTGGATAATAGCGGCGCAGACCACCAGGATGTGCATGAATGAGTGGGAGCTGCACATATCGAACCCTCCAGCCCACCAGCTTTCGGGAAACCTCATCTTTCGAATCAGGTGTCTTAGGATCGATTTTTCTCCTGTATGGGCAAAATGGGAGACTCACTGCATAAAGCGCGGTTCCAGATAGGAGGCAGCCTATCTTTGCCACCAGAGTATATTTGTTTATAAAAGACCTGATCTCCTCCATGATGGAGATAGAGAGAAGATTGAATTGATGAACACACTTGCACCCAGCCTTTAACTGCGCAATATAACAACATCGCTCAGATATCGTCCTCCAGCCCACACGAGGAGCCAGACAACAACCCCGCAACAACGACCCGCATCCAGTTCCGACACCCTGGAGGAAGAGTCATCCGAAGGTTTGCCGTGGTGGACCCGGTACGCCGCCTGTACGAATGGTTGAAAGCAGCGCCTCTGGAAGGCAAGGAGGGCATCGATTTTGAGCTGAAGGCGGTTTCCGGCGGCGACCTCATCCAGAAGCTCGACCTGAGCATCGTCGACGCCGGCCTCAAGCAGGGCACCGTCATGATCGAGTTCAATGAGGATTAGAGTGGGGAAAGCCATGGCTCAAAGGCAGATTGGCTGGCAATGCATTCACGGATTGCCCCGTTGTCGCGGGACAAAGAATAGACGTGACCATTCTTGAGGCTTTCCCAAGCAATCCACTCTGGGATGCTTACCAGTACGTTGGTTGTAGTATCTCGTCTCTATCTCCTCGTCTGGCATATGAGAGAAGACCCATGATGTTCTTCTTGGCTTAGCACACGAAGCTGTGGAAGCCGTGCGAGGTCGCGATGATTGGCATTGAGAGGTTTGGCTCTCGTCTGGATCACGCAATTGCTGGCTGGAGAGTTCCGAAATGTCGTCTGATGCTGGCGAAGCTTTTCGTCGCGACGTTTGAGCAAACAGAAGGCATCGAGATTTCTCCACTCCTTTGTGCACTGACAACAGCGGGGTTGCGGGGGGTTGGTGTTGGGCGACCGCTACCCTATAATACTCGGGTGACACCTCCGTTACGCCCTTTTTTCACGCGTCATCGCGTGTCAGTCGGTCAATTGTCAACAAACAAACAAATGAAGTTTTCCTCCAAAGAGACAAGCCAATACAAACAGTATATTGCCAATATGGACATCTCGATATTGTATTGTGACAATATGGCAATCTGCATATTGTATTGACACAATATCGCAGAGGGCATATCATATCGTATGTATTGCAATATATTGTTTTATTGCCATATTATTAGCAACACTGAGCTGAGAGCTGGCAGGAAGCATTGCACTTCTGAATCAGATTCTGGGTCTGGCCAGCCAGATGTCCTGTAGAGCCATTAGGTTAGCCTATGCCCGTCTTTGGCAGCAGTCCCTAACCCACATAGGCATCGGTGATCTCGTCGGCTGTCCCAGAGACGAAAAGGTCGACGCGATCATGTTGGTTGCATAGCTCCAGATAGAAGGCGTCCTCGAAATTCTTCAGTCCCACGTCTGTGTGGCCAGGAATGGTCATGGCCGTGGCTTGGTTCTTGGTCGTGTTCAGCTTGATCTGCTGTTTTAGGGAGTTGTAGTCGATGTTGTGCAGCCGCCAACGCAGCAACAACTCCCTCTCGAAATAGTCGCCGAACTTCATGTAGCTGCTATTCATCCAACTACTCACAACCGGGAATCTGCTTCCACAGCCCCGTACAACGACATTTTTGTTGCACAACCAAGTCATTTACAAGCAACTAAGTCTACTGTGGAAATTACGCGGCGTGGGGAGCTCCCCGACTCCTTACCAGAAGGGCAGCAATAGCGGCCAGAAAAACAAAGGGCGCTTTGCAGTAAAGGTGGATGGAAGTGTCTTATCGGAAGTGATGACTGTAGACCACGAGTAAAAACATGGAGCGTGATGGGGAAAGCGTTGCTTTAGCTCGGTCCTTGGAATTTCTTCTGATCATTTCATTGGAAGTGGGATTGAGCAAAACCTGATCCCCAGCATAGGTTCGCCCCGCGGTGACGTCAAGCATACGTCGAGTCAGAGACGATGACGTACGAGGATGAACTTAAATCCAGATATTATATATATTGGGCCGCATCCCCCTCAACTGGAGCATGTTTTCCTAAAAAGACACTTCCCAGACATTCCCGAACCACCACAAAGCCTGCTCCAAACCCCCCATCCGATCGCATTAAGAACCCACAACAACGCACAATGAGCGGACTAACGGACGAGGCGGCCGTTGAAGGCCACGACCTCATTCAGCACGTTGAGGAGGAAGCACAGGTACATTTACACCATCAGCCCCTCTGACCTGCAGTATAGCCGGAGCAGCTAACCCATCTCAATATAGATGCGCCCTCGAGAAGACACAAAGGCCGGTCAGAAGGAGGACGCCGCTCTGGAGAGCACAACGGCCGGTCAGAAGGAGGACGCCGCCGCTCGGGAGGGCGCAACGGCCGGTCAGAAGGAGGACGACGCCCCTCGGGAGAGCACGACGGCCGGTCAGGAGGACGTCGCTGGCGTCTCGAAGAGCTCTTCGAAGATTGACAGCATCAGAGAGGCTCTGCATTTGAAGAAATAAGTCGGAGGACGGTGGGCTCGATGGTCAAGTTTGGCAAGGTCGAGTGAGCGTATGGCCTCACTGATGTCTTGCCCTTGTGCTGTATCAGTATGTTTACGAGTCAGAATTGAATTCACTCTTGTTGAATGAATGATGGATTGATTAAAGAAACTATCTAACAGAGAGAGTGTGGCTATTATCTATAGACTACAGGAAACCTGAATAAGCTTCATTATGACTCAACAAGGAGTGCTGAAGCCTGGGGCTGCCTACGGCAGCCTATACCAACCTAGAGAGTGACTCAATAGTACGGTTTGAGCAGGTCTTTCAACAACTCTGTGAGGTCCATTGTTGCCCATGAACGAGTCCCAATGCTGGCTCGGGAGCCAGGTGGACCCTCGAGATTCTGGAGCCCTCCCAACTGCAAGACTCCTGGTATCGAAATAATCCCTTTCCGTCCGACTGGATAACCACTTGTGACAGATAATGGATGGACTACAAATGAAAGAGGCCTAGAATGGATTCGACATTTCCATAAGCATACTAAAGGTCGTACGAAAGGTGGTTATCGCCTCGACGGCCATGAAAGCCGCCATTCAGTCAATTTCGAGCTCTACTGCAAGGATCACAACATTATTACACTCTGTATGCCGGCTCATTCGTCGCATAACCTTCAGCCTCTTGATGTTGGCTGTTTTCGCCCGTTAAAAAGGTCGTACGGCAGGCAAATTGAGAATCCTATACGGGCGCATGTTACCCACGTCCAGGCTGGCGAATCTATCTACATCTATCTACCACGGCCTCAAGTAGATAGATGTAGACGCTTAGTAAGCACGGTCAATGTAGATAGATGTAGGCTACATGTAGATGTAGATAAATCTCAGTAGGTAGACGGTGCACGGACCGCGCTACCCCAGGCCAGGTTGGTCCACGGCTTCGACAACATCGCCACCCGTCTCTCTCAGCAACCCGTCGTATCCCTGCAACAGCCCTGCTCTTAGCCAAGATCTCACTGTCTGGGTAACAGCAATTGTGCTCGCATCTAGTCGGCGTCGTTTATGTGACACCATGCTACCAGCAGAGGACGGCAGCCATTGCAGGAATTGACAAGACATCGATCGCCATTTTGTCTACACGAGGATACTCAAACCGCTTAGCTGACCAGTATTCAAGCGGATTATCATGCTTTGAATACGCATCGTTCTTTGTGGATAGCCACCTCTCGAACTCATCTTCAAGCACCTCATGTTTATGGTTCGTACTTGACATAAGCTCGTCCTGGAACGAATCAAACGGATTGTGCTCTCGTGCCCGCACAGCCTCGGGAAGATTACTATTTGTAATCTCCCATTGTGCAGGAAGGTCGCGATACTCCTCATCCCACAGCTTTTGGACAAGCTGCCGAGCCGTACGCAGCAGACTTGCCTATCCTGATATCATATCTGATATGATAAATTATCCTGATATCAGGATAACACACTATCCTGATATGATATCAGCTTAGCAGGATAGCAGAAATGATATCACGCTAGCCAGTGCTGGATAGCCACGCTATGAAACTGAACTGGGGTGAGTTTCAATTTCATGAAACCGGGCGTCAGTATAGTTTCAGTTTCATATGAACCAGTTTCAGTTTCATATAAAACAGTACCCAGTTGCTGTCCAATTTTCGGACAAGCTCGGCGCCGATATACACCACCTTTTCTCCAAGTATCCCTAAGACGTTTGTCATTGTCTCCCTACCTATACTACCAATTCCCCAGGCTCGCCATCACTTTCTGCCCCCTTACCCATCTCTATATCTTCTTGGAGTGTCAGCGTCCTTACAGCCGCGTCGATACCCTCCACTCCCCTAAACACCCCTGCAAGAAGCGGCCTGCTTTTTCCCTTTGGAACACTTATCCAGCTTTTAATGCACTCGCATGCCTCTACCATTTCGGCAGACATGCTACTTCTATCCCATGTAACCTGCCGTCTTGCGCCTGAGAAGATTCGCTCTGCCTCCGTAGACATTGGGGGGATGCAGAATATGTCAATAGCCATACGGCAGAGGAGGGGGAAATTCTCTCGCTGGGTCGGTTCAAGCCACCACTGTAAGGCCGTTTGATGTCCAATCCCAATTTGTGAGCCCTGCGAAGTATCGTCAAAACCCGGCCATTAGAAGGCTTCAAATTACTTACATAAATAAAGCGGTCGAATTCATCCTTCACCTCACTCGCTGTGCTGTACACCTTCTGCCTCCAGCGAGCCTCCAGCGATCAAACTCATCGAGTTCTTGCCCTTTGTCCTGTTGCTTATCTGGGAGCCGGTAGCTCTTGTACTCTGTGGACCAAATCTCCCTTACAGCCTTCACGGCATTGCTAACCCAGTCTGGGTTTCTCTTCCACTGCTCACTCAGATAGCTCTTCCGGAGTGCTGGGTGAAGGAGAATACCGGCCGCGTACACGGGGGCTTGTTCGGTAAGCTGGTAATGCTTCTCAAACTTTAGCCAAGTCACGTGAAAGCGCGCGTAGAAGCGTGGGTCACTGAAAGCCCGGTTTTTAGTCTGCGTGAAGTGATGATGGAGGAAATCCATATGGGAGAGAACTTCATCGAGCGTATTCTCCCGGCCTTGGCGTACCGAGATCTGGTGGAATACTTGTAAGAACGCATGGATATCTCTGAGTTCGTTCCAGTCGTTGTGGTCCAGTGCATCTTTCTCGATTTTGGCATGATTTTCTTGAATCCAATCCATGAGCTTTGCCCGCCTCTCAATTGCCACGTCAATGAGGCGAAACCATGAATTCCAACGTGTATCATTGTCCCTCGGCAAGGCCCTGCCAACCTTGGCCTTGAAGTCGTTGTAAATGCTGGTAGAGCTCCTTGAATAGATGCATAAGTTGTGCAGTTTCCCCAGAACTCTAAACTCCCGCCATTGCTCGGTAGCTTGTGCCTTCGTAATAATGCCCCCTTCTTCGTTTTCTGATAGCCTGCATAGCCGCTCATACGCCTCATCAATCCCCTCTTGTTCATCCTCCTGAATCTTCTTTGCTTTACTCCGAAAGAGGTAGGCTTGAACGATGAGGTTTATGATGTGGCCACTGCAGCGTAGTCGCCTGGCAACCGGATCAAACCCATCAATCTCTTTTGCGATATCGTCAAGCATAGTATCGTTAGCATCGTGATTATCCATCGTAAAGTAGCCAACCTTTCCGCTGAGGTCGTACTCTTCGACAACCTCCAGGAAAGCCTTGGCTTGCAATTTCCCGTTGTGGTTTCCTTTGAACTCGCGCAGTGACAATAACGCTTGAGCGACTTCTATCGTCTCCGCATCTACAAAATGGGCCACGATTGCCTGGTATGCCGCCTTCTGTTCCGATGAGGTCCACATGTCAATGGTGAAGTGGACCATAGATGAGAGAGATTTATGAAGCTTTTTGACAAGGCCTTGTTTGTGTTGAGCGAAAGTCTTTTCGAGAAGCTTCGGCACCGCTCTGCGGCTGCGTAGGAGGACGTCCCGGGCCATATAGTTACAGGAGAGTATAACAGCGTGAAACTCGGGGTACTCGATGAACATGTGGGCGATATTGCGAACCGCAAGAAGCCTGGCGAGTGCTTCCTCGAATACAGGAATATTAATAGCGTTTGCCAAATATTTTTCCTCATTAAGGTCTCGATTGGCTTGACGTTCCTCCTGCCTTCCAAACAAATCCGTAATTGTGCCATGTTGCTGCTTCTTCAGATCCGACCTTTCCACATGCTCTATAACCCGGATGCCATGAAAATCCCGCAGGTGCTTGCGGGCTCGGCTCAGGTTCGTCGTTACCGAATTAGGCTTTTTTGTGGAGTCGCAGTGCTTGCAGTACCAAATTTCGTGGTATGAGGTATCGCGAGCTTTCTCTCCTCTCTTTTCATAAGGCTCACGCGCCTCGTTCCAGGTGCTTTTGTTTGTACGGCCTTTGGCGCGCTTGCCAGCCCCATCAGAGGGAAAGCGATCCAGTGCTCGCTTCGCGGGAACGGCAGACGAAGCAGGTCCCAGGAGCTCATCAGAAGGCTCCGATAACAAGGGAGGGAGCGAAGCTGATGACATATTTACTGATAGCAAGTTTCTAACTGTGTTGAAGGCATTTGGTTTGCGAAATATTCTTGGTTAAGTACGAAGATATTTGGGACTCATCGGGCGTATATGAAACGTATGAAACCGACTGAAACATATGAAACTGGGAGAGTTACAGTTTCATATGAAGCCGGGTCCAGGGGCGGTTTCAGTTTCATATGAAACCGTATGAAACAACACGCGTGGCTATCCAGCACTGCACACGAGGCCTTGGCGCTCTTCGCGCACGCCTGTATGGTCTCGCTGGGCTTCCAACTGCTAGGCTTTGACGAGGACAAGATGGAGGAGCCGACCTGCCGGGACCTGGCGCCGCGGCTACCCAAGAACTGGAATGCATCCTTCAACACGTACGCCTTCATATATGCGCACTCGCAGTCGGCGCTTCGTTTTGTGATTAAGGTAGACCGCATGGGAGGCAAGGCCGAGGTCAGGGGCCTGACGCTCGAAGACGAGCGCATAACCCGCCTCGAGATTACGACCAAGGACTTCATTTCCAACGGCTCGCTGCCCGTTCGCATCGCAAGGACGCAGGACGACTCTGAGGATAGGAGTGGCCTGCCACAAAAGCTTCGCGTGGTCTTCATCTCAGACGGCAGCATCGTCGACCTGGCCAAGCTTCTCCAGATTAACATTATCCAGAAGCTTCTGCCATCCCTACAAAAGGAGGGCTACGAGGAGTCACCGGACGATCGAATGGCCAAGGACGACGCTGATGAGGCTGCAAGACGCCCCCCAAGGCAGCCCTCCTTGCCAGACCCTCAACCCCAACCAGCACAGCCGTACCCTTACCAAGATCCCTTGCAGCCGCCTCCGCGAAATCCTGTTCCCATGGGCGACTTTCCCCCACCTGGGTTTGAAGACCCATACGATATTAACCGCCCACCTCGCGTCCCTTTCCACCCGGGCCGGACACTGTTTGGTGAGCTGGGTGCCGACGATCTCAACCCTCCTGGACTGGGGCCACATCATCCGCTGCGTCCACACTTCGGTGGAGGTGGCCTGCCGAGACCAGGAGGACCACGGGGCATGCACCCAACTTTTGACGATCCTCTGTTTGGAGGCATAGGAGGGGAACAGGGCCCATGTTGGTTAGCCTCTCCCGCTCGCAGGTCCTCTCTTGATTCCGTTAGCTCATACTTCGCCCGCATCGCTCGAGTTGCTGCGCCGTCAACTTACGGATGTACCTAGCATTATTCTCTTTTGCATCGCTCTCATCATTCAGACTCGCAAGCAGACGGGACGGTATGCCACGCTGCTTGTATTCTTCCCCTTGCTGGTGCACGGCAGTTCCAACGTCGAGGACCTCGCGGAGGCTAACGGTGTCAGACGGGCGAGAGTCGACGATCTTAAGCGCATCAAAAGAACAGAACACCTCGGAAGGCGGTTGTTTCTTCTCCTCGTACGTGGATGGCCCTGACTGCAGGATCCATGGGTGTCTGAGGAACTCCTTGATGGTGTATCGCTTGACCGGGTCGACGGTGAGCAGGTGGGAGATGAGATCCTGAGCGGACTCAGAGATGTCATCCCACCATGGCGAGAGGAATGCGTACTGGCCCTTAGCCACATTCTCAGTGACTACGTTGATGCTCTCCCCATAGAAAGGCGGGAAACCGCACAGCAGCGTATAGAGGACGCAGCCGAGGGCCCACATATCGACCGACTTGGAGTAGTTCTCGTAGTTGACGATTTCCGGCGCACTGTATCCGACAGTACCGCACGGCGTCTCTGTCCGGCCATTCCAGAGTATCTTGGACATACCAAAGTCGGCAATTTTAATCTGCCCGATGCCGCCAGACCCAAAACCTTTGATGAGCTGACCCTCATCGAACATTCGCTTCGGAAGCAACAAAGACGACGTCTCATTAGAAGGGAGTACCATACGCAAAGTTGAGGAAATATTTCGAGAATTTGGCAAGAAAACAAACAAAGCCTTCGATGTTGTGGAAAAAGGCTTGCAGAGGTCTACTATGGAGGCTGCGGGCTTTATCGAGATTCGAGAAGAAGTAATCGAGGTCTGGTGCCTTGTCACCCGATCGATCCCACCATGCTGACCTACTCTCATTCTAGGTACCTGTTGGGGTCTGGCATCATGATAAGACCATGAAGGAACGAGGATATCTCGCGTTGATGGCACTGTTGAAAAATCCATACGGACGCCTTCTCAGGCCTGCAACCAGTCTAGGTTACACCGAGGAAGAGATTCAACTCTTGGTTATGCAATTCCGCCAGGAGCTGCAGAACTGTGATAAGACTAAGCTATCGTATACGATCAAGTGTGTTTGGGGGAAGAAGCCGGACGATAATACGGCATAGCTACCAGCGCCCACATATTTAACTTTGCGGTGGGAGCAACGGCGTTTAATTATGCTTACCGCCCTTCTCAAATGATCTCGATGCTTGATTTTACTCGCACTACCGATGGCTGAAATTCGAAATTTCTGGCTGCGAAGCGCTTGCACTTTCTCATGCCCTGGATATCGATTTTCTTCATAGTGATGCTCATTCCTGAAGCAAAGTCGTTCAAGAATTGCATGACAACCGACTTCCATGATGGAGACAACCTAATACCATGTCCGCCGTGTTCCAAGATGAGAAGCTCTACTGGTCGGTCATGCTCTGCCATAGCCTCTGCAAACAGAAAGGAGTTCTCCACTGGGACGTCCTTGTCATTGGACGTGTGCATAATGAAGGTTGGTGGTGTAATGCCTGTGACTCGGGTATGTGCTGACAGTTCGCGACACAGTTGTGCAGAAGGGTCTGGACCAAGAGCATTACTCCTGGAACCGGGATGGCCGATAGGAAGTTCCATTACTATAACAGGATACGCCAAGATCAAAAGATCAACAGTGACCGTCGACGCGGTGGCAACAAGGGCCGCAAGATGGCCGCCGGCAGACCAGCCCCAAAGCACTACTCTGCTCGTCGAATGAGAGCTTTGGATGATTCGAACAGCCTCAACAGCTTCGTCAAAAGGTTTAGGCCAGAGAGGTGGAGTCGTATCTGCCGCGCAGGTGTAATTAAGTACGTAGACGTGGTATCCATCCTTATTCAATTCGTCCGCTGGATCGAGGCCATCTTTGATCCACCCTACTGTCTTATTCCACCCCGTAATTGAGTCAACTTCCAGGGTCTGATATGCCCCACATATGCAGTGTCGACCGTGCACACCTCAACGTCCTTCTCATTCTCACGTAGGACATGTCATATCCTACGAAAGGTCTGTGCACGTAGTAGATCCGCCTCATTCCAGCCCCTTTTCCCAGCGGATTTGAGTCCACTTTTAACCCCAAATTTACTGTCTTTCTTCCCCAGATACGACCCACCGACAGTCCACAATGCCGGCACTAGAAGACGACCTACAGTACGACGATGCGGAACCAATCGCCAATTCGATCAGCGACGAGGCCGGAATGCGATAATAGTCCCGACCAGGTCTTTACCTGCGACCTGACCATCATTCACGGGCAGTTGCTGTCCAGTTGGCGCGTGTCTGCCATACAACAGGGGGCCGGGCGCTTGGGCCATTGGACTCATTCTGAACCCCAGGTGCACCATATTAAGATTGGCACTTGGACCCAAACTTACAGTGTGGGCAGGGGATGCTAACCCCCAAGGGCCACCCGCCCCCAGCCATTCGGGCTACCCCAATTTCCCCACAGGTAAGTGAAGGAGAGCGCTGCGGCTGCGGCTCACACGGAAGACCCCGGACGGGAAAAGGAATGGTGAGAGGCACGCGCCGACGCGTTGTCGCGTCTCAGGCACGGGGTAAAAAAGGGAGGGTTCATCATTAGGGCAGACAGGTAGATAGAATTAAGACATATGCCAATACTTACGACTATACTTCATTTACGTCATTCGAGCTCTACTGTACAGCGGTAACTGAGGCACTACTTACCAAACCGTCCAGACGCGAAACGCGACAGCGACTACAGCGAGACCAGGCACCGCAGCCGGGCAACGTCAGGAAGCCGACATGGAAGACCATCACGACGACGCCGGAGCGCCCCCATCGGAAATCGATGTGTATCTCCACGAGGAGTCGCGCGTACTGATATGTTCGGTGTGTAAGGGTGGCATCCAGCCCGGGCCCGGCATTGAGTCCCACTTCCGGCGGAGGCACCGCCGCAACGGCAGGTGGGCTGGCGGACCCACAGACAGCGGAGACACCAGCAGATGGAACGTCGCCCGTCCCAGAGCTCCGGCTGCAGGCCGGGTTCAGCTGCATAGCATGCCTCGCCATCCTTGCTCCAGCGTAGGAAGTATGAAGGAGGATCTAATCGTGCCATCTCACGGCCATCGTCTTGATCTGGAGCCCGACTTCGACCTGGCCAAGGTGAAAGCTGACCTAACCTGTGCTCGAAACGGATTTTCCTTTATCCAGCATCCAGGGAGCAGGCTGTCACCAGAAACTGCGAGTTCTCTTGATGTGGTCACGGATGGCCTCTACAGTTAACAGTTGGTTCCCATTCCTCTATGAGTTAAAACATCTTTGTGGAGGCAGCGTCAAATGTAACTAGCCCCCGCAAAATGGAGTATTCTACAAGCCTGCCTTGAGAACATCATTGTGCAAAGTGGGCGTAATCGCCTTCAGCAAGAGCGACGGGTAAAAATGGTTCCAACACGTTACCTTGGAAGGATTGCGCGCAAGCCTGGTTTCTCACACATGGCGAGAAGTCAAATGTTGTATGACATTCAATATCAAACGCCAAAGTGAACATAAGGAACCCAGAGCGGCCACCTCGGCTCCGACCCTTGTCTCAATTCAGCGTCCCTGTCCGCTCCCGATGACCATGACTTTCCGCGTCCGGCATCCTCGAACTCCACCCACTGGTCTCGGAGCGTCCTCATCGCTCGGTGAAGCCCCCGGCTTACGGTTTCATCCCGGATACCCTCATCCCGCAGAAACTCGTACGTCATTCTCGCCATGTCCACACATAACCTGTCATTTACGCTCCAAAGCGTGCCCACTACATGACGGAACCCCGCAAGCTGGCAAGCATTGGCCAGATGGATGCTCTCGTCAACAGACCCCTCATCCAGGATCTGACCAGTCCCGCATGCCGAGAGGTACGCGAGGAATGGCGGCTTCGAGGTAAGGTTCGTCTCCAGGAGGCTCGCCACCGTGAATGGCTTCCGATCCCAATCATCCAGGAGCAGCTGGCTCTCCAGCGGTTCCGTGGGATGCGTGCTGCCGTGGCCAGCAAAGTGGAACATCTTGCAGGCCTCCAAGGCCGAGGAGACGTCGGCCTTGCAGGGTCGAGGCCGGGTGTGCGGCAATCCCACCGACTCGCAAACAGCTACTACGGCATCAACCTCGTCGCTCGCATGCTTGAGCGGTTCCTGTTTTGGCGTGTTCTGCATGGCAACGACAACGGCATTTCGGGACCCTCCGGCTTCCGGCGCGTGCTGTGGCCGTCGCCGACTCTGTATGATCGCCTTGACGGACGAGGCGTACGATGAGACGACTCTGTCGACCGCCGTCTCGCCAGTGCGCCTTAGATGGTGTCCCGCTGCATGGAGTGGAAACCGGGTCAGTGGGCCGGTGGGGACCCACCACACTTGCGGCCACTGACTGTCCGAAGGAGGTCCAGTAAAGCCTAGAGCATTAAGAATGGGACAGACGATGGCATCCCAGAGCCACCCAAGCGTGTCAAGAGTTCTAAGTTCCCGGACATGGTCGTTGAGCGCCTCTCGGGAGAGGTGTGGCAGCTCCAGCAATCGGATGCCGGACTGCTCAATGACCAAGGCATCGCAGCGATACGAGCTCACGTTCAGGACGACGATCGGGCCGTGCCGCGCAGCCTCCAGCATATCGGCCTCCGATGCGGAGAGGAGGAATCGCTCAAAACCGGACTTGGAACGGATCGTCTCGAGGAGAGTGGTAAGCTGGGGTCCAGCGTCGCGGCGCCGATCGCCTTCCGTCTCTGCGGCCAGAGTGGGGCGCTCGGCAGCGAGGGAACGAGCCGACGCCGGTGCGTCCAGTTGATCTCGCAGGTCGATAAAGGAACGTACCAGGTCGGGATGCTCGCGTTCGAGAGCGGCAAGGTCGGATTGCTCGAAGAGGGCTCCCGCGATGACACCACGACCAGTCTCAAGCAGTTCGATAGCAGCAGCAGGGCCTCTGTTGGCATGCAGAGCAATGGCTGTCGCGTCCGACGAGAGTCCGACAGCCGCGGAGAGGAGGTGCCGCTTGTCTGAGTTCTGCAGAGAACGGGGCGTCAATAAGGGAATCAAGTCGATCGTCGTTTTGGCAATGGCGTATGCTTGTCGATCTTGAAGTATAGCTGGGGATGTCAGAAGATGACGGCCGGCTGCGACACGCATGCTCACAGCGGAGGCGGACTGACGCAAGGCAGCGACGAAGCGTTCCTTGCCTTCCTCAAGGTCTGCCATCGCGCTTGTGCGTGAGTGTCTGTCGCCTAGACGAACTCCGAGGTTGATTAAGAACATAGCCCGGTCTGGATGATCTAGAGGGGCGGCATCGATGGCTTCTCGTCCAACTCGGATCGCTTCCTCGAGGTCTGCCATCGCTCCGTTCCGCGAGTATCTGTCGCCTAGACGAACTCCAAGGTTGTTCAAGAACCTAGCCCGGTCCGGATGATCTACCGGGGTAGCATTGATGACTTCTCGTCCTACTTGGATCGCTTCCTCGAGGTCTGCCATCGCTCCGTTCCGCGAGTATCTACGGCCTAGACGAACTCCAAGGTTGTTCAAGAACCTAGCCCGGTTCGGATGATCTACCGGGGTGGCATCGATGGCTTCTCGTCCTACTTGGATCGCTTCCTCGAGGTCTGCCATCTCTGCAGTCCGTGAGTATCTACGGCCTAGATGATTTCCGAGGTTGATTAAGAACCCAGCCCGGTTCGGATGATATAGCGGGGTGGCATCGATGGCTTCCCGTATCAGACGAATGGCTTCCTCGAGGTCTGCCATCTCTGCATTCCGTGAGTATCTGTCGCCTAGATGATTTCCGAGGTTGCTCAACCATCCAGCCCGGTCCGGATGATCTAGTGGGGTGGCCTCGATGGCTTCCCGCGTCAGACGAATGGCTTCCTCGAGGTCTGCCATCTCTGCATTCCGTAAGTATCTGTCGCCTAGACGAATTCCGAGGTTGTTCAATAATGTAGCCCGGTCCGGATGATGTAGAGGGGTGGCCTCAATGGCTTCCCGCGTCAGACGAATGGCCTCCTCGAGGTCTGCCATCGCTCCGTTCCGCGAGTATCTACGGCCTAGACGATTTCCGAGGTTGTTCAAGAACCTAGCCCGGTTCGGATGATCTACCGGGGTGGCATCGATGGCTTCTCGTCCAACTCGGATCGCTTCTTCGAGGTCTGCCATCGCTCCGTTCCGCGAGTATCTGTCGCCTAGACGAACTCCAAGGTTGTTCAAGAACGTAGCCCGGTCCGGATGATCTACCGGGGTAGCATTGATGACTTCTCGTCCTACTTGGATCGCTTCCTCGAGGTCTGCCATCGCTCCGTTCCGCGAGTATCTACGGCCTAGACAATTTCCGAGGTTGTTCAGCCATCCAGCCCGGTTCGGATGATCTACCGGGGTGGCATCGATGGCTTCTCGTCCTACTTGGATCGCTTCCTCGAGGTCTGCCATCTCTGCAGTCCGTGAGTATCTACGGCCTAGATGATTTCCGAGGTTGATTAAGAACCCAGCCCGGTTCGGATGATATAGCGGGGTGGCATCGATGGCTGCCCGTATCATATGAATGGCTTCCTCGAGGTCTGCCATCTCTGCAGTCCGTGAGTATCTGTCACCTAGATGATTTCCGAGGTTGTTCAATAATGTAGCCCGGTCCGGATGATGTAGAGGGGTGGCATCGATGGCTTCCCGTGTCACGCGAATGGCTTCCTCGAGGTCTGCCATCGCGCCTGTGCGTGAGTATCTGTCGCCTAGACCAATTCCGAGGTTGTTCAAGAACCTAGCCCGGTCTGGATGATCTAGAGGGGCGGCATCGATGGCTTCTTGCCCTACTTGGATCGCTTCCTCGAGATCTGCCATCTCTGTAGTCCGTGAGTATCTGTTGGCTAGATGATTTCCAAGGCTGTTCAGCCATCGAGCCCGGCCCGGATGATGTAGAGGGGTGGCATCGATGGCTTCCCGCGTCAGACGAATAGCCTCCTCGAGGTCTGCTATCGCTCCGTTCCGTGAGAATCTGTCGCCTAGACGAACCCCGATGTTATGTAAGAACATAGCCCGGTCTGGATGATCTAGAGGGGCGGCATCGATGGCTTCTCGTCCAACTCGGATCGCTTCCTCGAGGTCTGCCATCGCTCCGTTCCGCGAGTATCTGTCGCCTAGACGAACTCCAAGGTTGTTCAAGAACCTAGCCCGGTCCGGATGATCTGACGGGGTGGCATCGATGGCTTCTCGTCCTACTTGGATCGCTTCCTCGAGGTCTGCTATCTCTGCAGTCCGCGAGTATCTGTCACCTAGACGAATTCCGAGGTTGTTCAATAATGTAGCCCGGTCCGGATGATGTAGAGGGGTGGCATCGATGGCTTCCCGTGTCACACGAATGGCTCCCTCGAGGTCTGCCATCGCTCCAGTCCGTGCGTATCTGTCGCCTAGACGATTCCCAACGTTGTTCAAGAACATAGCCGGCTCGGGATGATCTGACGGGGTGGCATCGATGGCTTCTCGTCCTATTCGGATGGCTTCCTCGAGGTCTGTAATCGCTTCAGTCCGTGAGTATCTGTGGCCTAGAGAACTGGTTGTCCTGGTAATTCGAAGCGGCTCGTTAGTAGTCCGAAGTCTTTGCCAGGGAGGAAACTTGTCACCCACCCTTTGAAGCTTTAAAATCTAGAATAGAATCGGCCCTGGTGTCGAATGAGTGGAAGATTCGACCTCTGCCCTGCCTAGAATCACGCCCGAGCCACGCACCCACATGCGGCGAGCTATCACATGCTTAATTGCCATTCGTAACTGCTGACACTCAATGCTGACTTGGCATCTTCGTGGCTCGGCGCACTCAGCTTTCAGCTGGCAGAATCTGCATTCGTTGTACTGTAACCACCCTTTGGAGAAACTTAGCTTCTAGGATGGGGGCCACCTCGTCATAGCTGCGTCATGGCTCGTCTTAGACTTTCAGCCGACAGTCAGCGCGTGCTGTGTCGTCACTTGTCAGCAAGGCTCCAGAGTTAGATTTGTAACTCCTCGCAAATCCACCGGTGCAGGGTCGCCACATGCTCTAACCTAGTGCAATTGTCATTTTCTTTTGGATCACTGGGACTGACTGACATGCATGCGGGCGCCCACGGTGGAATATGTCCGTCAAAGTCCTGTTTGTGGAAGCAGTCCATCCTTAAGGGCCCCCCTGGGGGTAGATGCGGGGAATGGCTCACTACCCCGTAAGCCCAGACACCTAAGGCATAAGGTTCAAGCCATGGACTCAGGCTCCGCCGCCGCCGAAAACATGCATATAAACAGAGGCGCCCACTGCTATCTGAATAGTAGGAGACAAGAGGTCACCAGCAATGCATCATGGCCTTCCCAAACCTCCCAAAGCGATTTGCCTTGCTCGTCGGCATCGACCTGTACTTTAACGACGGCTCAAGAAAGAATGAAAATGGAGAACCACACTCTCTCAGAGAGCTTCGAGGCTGTGTCAACGATGTCCGGGCGGTCGCGGAGTTACTTCGAAATGAATTCCAGCTGGAGGAGCCTCGCATCCTCACTTCTCTCCCCTGACCCTGTCAAGCTTCACGTGTCCCACTGAGCCGACAGAGCCGTCAGATTGTCGGCCCACATTCGACAACATCAAGAGGGAATTCGACACTGGCTGAGCAGGCTGGTCCTGGTGACCTCTTCTTTTTTCACTTCTCTGGGCATGGGGCACGGCTGCAACCGACGAGCAAATCCCCGCCCGGGAGGCTGACAGACCCATCCCTGATGACGATGGACTTTTGCTGCGGAAACCCTGCAGTGAGAGGATGGCAGCTGAACGAGTGGCTGAAAAGGCTCAACGAGAAGCAGATTCGGACCATTGTCATCCTCGACAGCTGCCACTCTGGCGGCGCCTGGAGGACTGGTGAAAACGTTCGAACTCCAGAAGGCTGGACGAACGTCCCCAACCTTCCCGCCGACGAAGAGGCAATCACAGAGACCGCTGTCGAATCGGGCAGCCGCGATGGGGAGTTGGAAATGTCCTGGTCCATCAACCCGGACGGATTCACGCTGATGGCAGCCTGCGAAAGTCATGAGGTGGCCGCAGAGAAGACTGTCAACGGCACATCTTACGGCGCATTCACCCATGGACTCTTGGCGTGCCTCAAGCAGAACCGACCAAGCGAGGCAATTGTGACTTATCGGAATCTGCGCGACCAGGTCGTCAAGTGGGTCAACGGACAGACTCCTCGGGTGTATGGTCGAGACAGGCTGGCATTCTTCGGAGACGAGGAGCCATTCTCGGCAACACCCCTCGTCGTGCGACTCGAAGGAGAGAATATTTACCTTCCCATTGGAAAAGTTCACGGTGTTCGGGAGAAGTCCGAATTCACAACTTATCCGCCTACGTCGCACATAACGTTTTCGGTGGATCGAGTCGACGACTTCGAATGCAGCGCCCGGGTGCCATCGGCCCTCCATGCGCAAACTTTGCATCAGCACAACAATCAGATCGTTCCGCGTCGGTGGAGTTTGGGAGACGACATTCTCCAAGTGTTTGTCCATCCCCCTCTGGGGAGCGGATTCCAGCAGGCGCTTCATGCCGCTCTTCAGGATAGGATCGTTGGAGATATCGAGATCACCGAGCCCAACGACAGCTACGGACCTGACTCTGCCGTGTTTAGGATGACACAGCGTGGCAATGACGGCATCAACCTCGCCGGATCTCCGTCTTTGACCGGGTACGAAGGTCCGGTGCGCGGGTTGGACCTCACAGGCGTCAACACCGCTCAACGGGCCACAAAATCTGCCGTTGCTTTGGCTCACTTGACCCGGTTCAGACAAATCCTCAGCCTCAGTGGCAACGCGTCTCAGCAGCTTGGGCCGTTCGAGCTGACTCTGAAACCGAAGATTTCCGGGGGCAACCTCTCGGGTGGCCAGGGAATAGAGTTCGTGTTCAGGAACACATCCGAATCTCAGCTCCACTTCACGGTCTTGGTGCTCAGTCCTGGATTTCATGTGAAGCAGCTTTACCCTTCGGAGGATTTTCCAAAATCGGTGGATCCGGGCCACGAGGTCTTGTTCACCTTTAACCTGACGGTACCTGACCCGCTCAACGGATATGAAGAGCAGCGAGACATAATCCGTACAGTTGTCACGAGAGGCATGCAGCTTTCCTGGAAGAGCCTGGAACTGCCTGACATATGGAATGCTGATCAGCTGGCCGACAAGCGCAGTGGCTCAGGGAGGGACGCGAATTTGCTGTCCGAGTGTAGCTGCTGGGTCAAGGACAACGTAATGTTAACAACAAAACAAGGTGGAGGAGATAAGGTCTGCTGGATCTCACACTTAGTTGGTTAATCAGGCAATGTTTCCCTTCTCTTTCCTTCCATTCGCCGACAGAATCTTCAGTCTCCTACACAGTTCGGAGGCGCGAATCGTGTCTCATCAAGGTGCTTGCTTTGGTTGCTCTAGCTTCTGGGTCACGACTCTGACGTGCTCATCGTTCGGGCGTGGCCAGCCGATTCCCCTTGTGAAGCAAGACGGTCGTACACAGAGTAGATTACTTTGTGAACCCGCCGTCCACCCCCGGTGCCAGAATATATGTGACCCTGCAGGTCGAGGAGTGGGGTTGCAAAGAGCACATAATGCCAATATGCATGAAGTCCAAAATTACCGCTGCGCTTAGCGTGATAAAATCCAGCGCAACAGGGCTGTTTACTGCGGAGGAGTGGGATGAGTCGTAGGCAGGCAGGTACCTAAACCTTTGTCGGACTAGGCCGTGAGGAAGCGTACGATCATCGCACTAATTTCTGGGAGATCACTGGGGGAGCCGGTTCCTCAAGTGGCGTACGGAGTTTGCCATGGACGGGGAAGCTAATTATAGTGGGGAAGTGAGCCCGTGCCATGTTATCCGGACCCAAGGCCCTTCTAGAGTACATTTGTGCTCCATGCACCCTACAAAGTTCCTTCTCCATACGCGTGCGACATCGACACATGCTTGTGCATGCCATATCCTCGTAGCCTCTTTCTCCATGCTGCCAGAATGCACAACCCAGTCAGGCATTACGTCAGCTCCCTGCTTGTCCCCTTTACCCAGGCAGCTTGCTTCTAGGCATTTTGTTACAAGAGAAGAGAACACGATGTAGAGTAATGACACTTCAGCTTGTGCTCTCTGGTACAAGACCGTCCGCATATCTAGTCAAAGGAGCATCGGACGGAGGCGTGCGTGTTGTGGTTCACGTTGAGTGCATGGAAGAGCGTGGCTCGAAGCGCTCATATCCCGATGCATTGACGAGTTGGTGACTTTTGATAAATAACCGAGGGCGACAGCCGCACGAAACCACGCCACGCTGTCTTGTGATGACCGGGTGCATGATCCGGACCGCCTCCCCTGAAGAGAACGAAACGACCCAGGAGTCCCGAATTCGTCATGCCGGCCCCTAGCCGCCAATACTGTCATTACCACACAGGATACGACGACAAAGCAGCTGTCCCCAGACGCATGCCGTGAGCGCATACCTTCTCCGTGCATGCGTCTCTGGGTGGCACAATATTCGGAACTGGGGAAGGTGATTCGGCAGGACTCAATGGGTAGTCTCGAGTTTACTGCAAATGGCATACATTAGACCCTCGTCGTCTTCATAGCACCAGTGACGCCGTCGTTGGGTATTCACATACCGCTGCTGGATGTAAGCCAATCCTTGCTGTCATCCTGCACGCTTCTTCAAAGTGAAAACTGTGTAAAGTGACATATACGTGAGTGATCCAGCTGATGCTAGGTTATGCACCTCTTCACCCGGAGTCTACTGTGAGGGCCTAGCGGGCTTGTGATAGCTTGTGTGGCTTGGCTGCATTTTGTCGGCCCGCACAGGATGTCCCAGACACGCTCTCCTAGGAAAAGAAATATCATATAGATCGAGGATGAGCAAAACCAACGAGGCAAATATCCATGCAGTATGGTTGATATGATGTGGCTCGCAGGCTGCATGGCCCTTGCCACCACGTGCCATCTAGCGGCATCAAGAGCCAGTACGTGTCTCCTTCAACCAGCGGGCTTGTCCTTGATCGTGGGTCTCAAAGGCGGACCGATGCTCCTACAGGTCCGACCACTGAAAGTACCGTGACATTCCCTGGCAGCTAGTCTGTCTCGCCTGTGTGAAAGACGTCGCCAAGTAAAACAACCAACTAATGCACCCTTGGTCGATGATTGCTGGTCTCTTGCTCTTAGGCCTTTGCTCGCGCATGTCAGTCGTCTTCATGGGCCGTTGCCTCCCTGATACGATCGACGTCGTTCTTGCGAGTGTGGCCCGTGAAATCTCAACTACAGCTCGGCGCCTTGCCGTCTAAGCTGCGGTGCCAAGTACACACCGCCGCCCTCTCCGTCATCGGCAAACAATTTCGCGTAAAGGCATCGATATCGTCCTGCGAGGCCACCTAAGAAGGCAGTCGCAGGAATCCGCTTCCGGCTCGCATCCTTAAGCATTAGCTCCAGTTGCTGGGAAAGACTGTCCCAGCCGAATGCCGCACTGTAACATTGACCAGAAAGTTGTGCCTCCTCCATCCTCCCATCTCGAAGTCTTTGCCACAACTCAACACCGTTGCAGCCTTTGGCAACAGCAGAGACAACTCTGGGGGACGAGCGCAAAGCCCGGGCCTGTCGGAGAAATGGTGGCCGCCCCACATTTCATCACTTAAACCCTGCCATGGAGAACCCGACCGAGCCAACACAGTCTCCAACAAGATGCTGTAAGCACGAATGAACTTTTGTCCATGGCCGCCGCCACCAACGTCATCCTGCGCTCACCCAGCCGAGAAGCTAGTGACCGGTCATTACATGGCTGAATGGGACGGAATGCCCTTACAGCAGATGTCACAGTCGACCGAGCCATTCTGACATTACCGTGTTCTTCCTTTCTGTTTCCTTCTGGTGCGGCTGCGTCGTTTGTCTGCAGCCCTGCAAGATACCGACCTGTGCCCATCTATGTCGAAGTTGAGGTTGTCACTCACGCGTTTGCTGCGCCCGACCATGAGAGGTATTCTATCAATGAAGCCAGGAACCGAGCGGCAATGCACCGCTCCGCTGCTCATGCCGAGCAAGGGGCTAGCGCAAACCCTCTTGTCCCTGCGCGGCCCGAGAACTCTCTGTCGAACGAACCTTGCAGCGGGCCCATGATCGAGCGACCAGGGCGTGGCAGGGTTCTGATAGCAATGCGCTGCACACTTGCTAATCGGCCCGCGTAGGGCAGAGTGGGGGCGTACCCGAGAAGAATGAGTTGTGTGGGGCAGCTGGAATGCCAAGATGGCCCACCCTACCATTGTGCCATCCATGGATGGCAGCCGAGCTGACCGGCTCGTCGCGTGGTGGTCGGCACCCCACGCTTTCAGGATGCAGCGAGTCCCAAGTCCCACTCGGTGCAGCTGCGCAGACGCTGGTCGCCCTCCTCTACTACCTCGAACCTAATTGGATAATGGTGCCTAAAAGAAGAAAAGATGTCGCAGACACTTTGCAGTTCCTGGTTTGACGCTAGTGCATTGCAGCAGCAAGGGAGCGGTCGCTGTGCACTGACCCAACTGGTGTCTCTTCGGGTGGCGCTCGTCCTTGCTCCAGCCTCCGCGATAAGGCAGATCCACAACGCACTGATTCCGTGGGTGAGACCCGGAGACAGGCCATGTACATCACATAACAGGGATGGAGCCGTCACATGCTGCCTCCTGATGCTCCTTGGTGGCCGGCTTGGATTGCCACATATATATGTTCAGTATGGGATACCGACTGACCGATCCATTCCCCCCTTGCGAGTCTACACAGACGCAACCGTAGCCGAGCTCGCCGCCGCAGAATCGCCGTGCCTGTCATTCTTCCTCAGACCACGCATACTGCGCCGGCAAGTCACGGCGAGCGTTGCCAGCATGAAGTAGACGCCAGTCAACGGAGCTCTTACTTCTTCAAAGCTGGAGTCCATGGTGAAGCGAGATCCAAACGAAGAAGCTCTGCTGTCCCAGCTGCGACGTCCCAACTCGATGGGCCACCCGATCGATAGCCAGCCTCCGACACCTCATGCGCCTCATCATCGACCTGTGCACCCGCCGCCCGAACCATCTCGCCAGATGAGTTACGACAACGGCCAGTCCATGGCGCAATCGCCAACGACCTCAGGGCCACCCCCACCTCCATATCCGGGCACCGGGACGCCATTGCTTTATCATATCCCGTACGATGGGAGCCCATACGGCCATGGGGGTCACCCAAGCCATGCACCGCCGCCAATGACATACCATACGCCACTCGAGATTGCCCAAGCCGCAAGTACCAAACGGAAGGCGACGAGAACATCTCAGGTATGGAGCCTTCCCGCGCGCTGTGCAGCTAAACACTGACCCCATTTCATAGGCTTGTGACTCGTGTCGTCTGCTCAAATCCAAGTGTGATGGGTCGAAACCTTGCAAGACTTGCATCGAACGAAACATCCCATGCGTGTTCCGCGACCCACAACCCAGGCAGTAAGTTGTGCAGAGTAACAAGGCATCCAGGTGCAGAATGCTGATGTAAGGTGTCGCAGATCCGACAAAGCCAATGCTGACATACTGGATGCCCTGAACGGCTTGAGAGATGATCTTATGCAAAGGTTCGGCAAGATTGATAACCGCCTTGGTCGATTGGAGGGTGCCATCCACGCAAACCACCAGAATGGCGCTCCAGACCTCAAGATGGAGTCGATTGACGTTGAAGACTATCAAGAAGATGCAGGCCCGCACGACCACCCGTCGCCCGATGACCGAGGTGCCGAGGACGAATATGCGGCAAAAAATGGTGTGATGGATCCAGACAAGGCAGAAAAAACGATCCGAATCTGGGACCACAATGACAGCGACGAAAAGCCGGGGCCCCCGGTGGCAGGCAAGACTAAGCTGCCCGCAAACCACACTACTTCGGCAGGACTGCTATTGAAGTGGAAGTCGATACACCGGTTGGTCGCTCCCCATCTCGCTGCAGAACACATTGGATATGTCGAAGAGTTCCCGATTCGACAGGAAAAGGCTCGGGGCTTGCTGCGCGTGTGCGGGGCCGGAGAAGGCTCTGGGGGAGAACATGCCCCAGCAGACCACACGGACCAACCAGCAGACAACATCATGACCGATTTCCAAGACGATAGCTCGGAGGCACAGTCTCCAGCACCCAATTCAGAAGTCTGGGGCCAGACCGGAGGGCTTTCCCCGGCCCAAGGCATGACATTCAGAGGCGGAGTCATTGGCACGGACGGTAATCCAGACTTCTCGCATTCGACTGTGTGGAAATATGTCACCAGCTTCAAGGACAACATCTTGAACATGCATCCGATCATGATACTGGAAGAGCTGGATGCGCTGGTTGTACTGTTTCTCAAGGAGATCCCCCAGCATACGCAGCAGTCAAGTGTGCGGTCCAGCAGCAACCCCAAATTTGTGGGCCAGCCGACAGCTGCCGCTCCATCACTGCCCGAGGCTGTTGGTGCCAAGAGGAAACGCTCGCTTGGTGGCGATGATCCGGCACCATCCGTCAACATCTTAAAACCCGCTCATCCTTCCCGCAGCATAGCGAGCGCGATCGTTCTGCTCGTTTGTGCGCTGGGCAAAATTCGCCTCCACAAGCAGAGAATTCCTGACATTGTCAGGGAGCAAGGTGAGGCCCAGCGACACCGATCGCCCTCCATGCGAAACGGTGGCGCAATGTCTCCGATCCACGGCTCTCCGCTTGGATTCGACTCGCACTCTCAGTCTTCTGGACTACCTTCGCCACAAGAACCGCCTGACGGTGCCATGCCCAAACGCCGTGCTTCCATGCAGGGTCATGGGACTGGGGTGCGTCCGACACCAATCAAGCGAAACTACGACGTCATTCCTGGACTTGAGTACTTCGCACTGGCAACGGACATTCTGGGCAGCCATCTGGGCGGGATCGATCTCAAGCATGTTTATGCTTGGGTCCTTGCTGGTCTGTATTATGGGCAACTCGCGAGGGCTGTGGAAAGCTGGGCATACATAAAGCAGGGCTGTATTGTTCTGCAGGAGGTCATGAGGACGTAAGTCAACACTGCCATGGCTGGTACTGAGCAGCGCTAACTTCGAAGCAGGAGCATATACCGATTCCACGAGATCAAGATGGGCGATGGATATGTGCCTCAGGAGTCCAGGAGGGACAACCTGGTACTCCTGGCGTACTGGACCTGCCTGCAGCTAGAAAGGTATGACATAGGCCCAAATCGCTGCTGTTGGCCGCCTGCTGACTTCTTTGTGCTCAGTGACATCCTTGCGGAGCTACCGCT